GACAGTTCTGGTACCTTAAATTTAGCAGTCTAGATATTTTTCCGGACGGTAGCAGAGAGAACAGTCTATGGCTTGGGTGGCTGGAGTCTTTGCCAATTTTTCGGTCCTTCCTCTGAAACCACCTGGTATAGAGGTCCTGGATGGCAGGGAGCTCGGCCCCAGTGATGTACCCTCTGTAGTGCCTTGCGGTCGGATGCCAAGCAGTTGCCACACCAAGCACTGATGCAGCCAGTCAAGATGCTCTCGATGGTGCAGCTGTATAACTTTTTGAGGATCTCAGGGCCCATGCCAAATATTTTCAGCCTCCTGAGGGGGAAGAGGCGCTGCCGTGCCCTCTTCACAACCGTGTGTGGACCATATTAAGTTCTTAGTGATGTGGACGCCAAGGAACTTGACACCAAGGAACTCACAGTCACACACAGATACACATACACGCTGGCTGGCTCAACCCTTAATTATCCCTGGTACAAAACAGCAGCAGCAGCAGCCTCTGAGCTCCAGCACCCTTTATCACCTCCACCAGGGTGACTAATGCATATTGACTCTACCCTAATGAAGCATCTCAAATGGAAGGGACGCCTAGAAATTGTCTCCCATGCATCTTAATGATTGATTCACTCGCGTCTCTCTCTCTCTCTTTCTTTCTCACTCTCGTCGCACCACACACTCGTCTTGTGTCTCACACTACTGTACAGTATGTCATACAGCACACACACAACCTTGACTGGAGTGTAGAGGACAGTAGAGATATTATATCAAAAACCCTGGCTGGACCCCTATCCTATCCATTCCCCACTCTCTAACACCCCCACCCACCTGCCCTTCACCCTTCCTAAACCCTCCACCTCTCCCCTTATCTTCACAATTTCCCCCACCCCCCTGTCCCTGTTAAACTAAACCATCCACCTCAGCCCTGACACCTGACTACACACCTCCATCCTCCAGCTGACCCTCCTGATTAAATAGAGGTTTCGGGGAACAAAAGGACAGAATCAGAAATAATCAGAGGAAATAGAGCCATCATCCACCTGAGTCCTCCAGTCCTGCTGGCTCCCCCATGGTCATTCTCTCTTATCAGGCTGGAGCAACAGTGGGGATTAGACCCTGGGGCTGGGGGTAGGGTGACCTTGGGCTGGGCAGGCAGGGGTTAACATAACACACACACATGCACAGGCACACACAGGCACGCACAGAGGCAAGCACACACACACACACACACCAGCAATCACCACTTCCATGCCCTTGAGCAGAGCGAGAGGAAAGCCCTTGGCCTTTGAACAGCACAAATCCCAGCCATATTAATTGATTGCTGCATACATTAGTAGACATGAGTCACTTTGGGTAAAAGCCTGGGTTAATAAGGAGAGAATAATAACAGTCATTATAGGAAGCTGATTATTTAATGTATGTCATCTTCTGGGGCTTAATGGTCCTGTCATGTTAAATAAAGAAATACATAAATGTTATCATCAAAGCCAAGACACACTGTGACGGTAGCAGAACAGAGGGAGCTTCATGTACTGAAGTTAGACATTTCAATTGTGACTCCTTGAAAAACAAGTTAAGCTACCCTGAAAAGTGCTACCACAGAGGGGGAGGTTGGTGTTGAGGGAGGCCCTGAAAAGTGCTACCACCAGAGGGGGTAGGTTGGTGTTGAGGGAGGCCCTGAAAAAAGTGCTACCACAGATGAGGGGAGGTTGGTGTTGAGGGAGGCCCTGAAAAGTGCAACCCAACAGAGTTGGGTAGGTTGGGTCATCGAGCAAAGGGTTGTGGGTGTGTGAATCGTCTGTTAGTGTCCTGCTGTTTCAAAAAATACTGACGAAATGGATGGTGACCCTGTATGGTTGTTTATAGGAATTATTTTGGATAGTAGAAGCAGATACGTTAGAATGGTCATATAATTATACCCTATGGTATGGTTCCATGGCAGCACCGGTATACCTACATCTATTTTCCTGTCTTTTCCTACCAGGGTTCAAACTGAGGAAGAGGAGAGTCAAGAGCGACGGAGGAACAGGAAGCTGCCTCATGGGGAGGCCATACCTGTCGAACGAAGATGGCTGACTGGAGGAGTTACAGGAGAGCTGACCTGGGAGAGGCATGATGGAGGCAAGGAGAGAGAGGACCGAGACTGAAGAGAGGCGGAGTGAGAGAAGCGGAGGAGGATCCGGAGAAGAGAGGAGAGAGGGACTGGAGAGAAGATAGAGAGAGCCAGTGTGAGCAGGAGAAGGAGAGAGAGAGAGGAGAGAGAGAGAGGAGGAGAGAGAGAGGAGAGAAGAGAGAGAGAGAGAGAGAGAGAGAGAGGGAGAGAGAGAGAGAGGAGACGGAGAGAGAGGAAGAGAGGAGGAGAGAGAGAGAGAGGAGGAGATAAGAGAGGTTTTGCTTGTCCTTAGATTGCACAGAGCTATGGAGGCTTGTGCCTGTGTGTTTGTGTGTGTGTGTGTGTGTAATTGTGCTGGCTGAGACATACGGAGAGCTGTGCTGGCACTGCCTGAGGAGGGACACACACACACACTGGGACAGAGCTAGATATACAGCACCTGCTCGTTCATGTCCTCTACAAATGAAACTGGGCTACAGAGATACAATTCAGTTAGCATGTGAGAGTAAATGAAACTGGGCTACAGAGACAGAATTCAGTTAGCATGTGAGAGTAAATGAAAATGGGCTACAGAGACAGAATTCAGTTAGCATGTGAGAGTAAATGAAGAAACAATAACCACAGTGCTTGTTGCTTTTAGCAAGCACGGTACTATTGGCTTGTAGTACTGTAGTGGTCCACCATTTGAAGACTGAAGAGAGCAGCTTGATTTGGTTGGTTGGTATAGTCTTACAGTCTAACAGGGCACAAATTGAAATCCTTTACTTTCCTCATTCTTATTCATACACTCCCACACACAGTCCAACTGACAACTCTACCATTGTCTCTTAAGACCTACGATTTACATTGTTTTTCTAACAGTGCCGAACCAAGATGCTAAAATCGAAGCGATGCATAACTCCTCAGTCCCATCTTCACACATATCGCATTATTCTCTGAGCGTCTGACAAAGAGCAAACATTTGTTATGGCATGTGTAATAGGAAGCAGTGCATCTTGGGAGGAGTGTAACTGATGCATTTTTTTATGTGGTTTGGGAGGTGAGAGTTTTAGTCAGGGAAGACCGAAGGGGTCTGATGTTTTAGTCAGGGAAGACCGAAGGGATCTTGTGTTTTAGTCAGGGAAGACCGAAGGGGCCTTGTGTTTTAGTCAGGGAAGACCGAAGGGGTCTTGTGTTTTAGTCAGGGAGACCGAAGGGGTCTTGTGTTTTAGTCAGGGAAGACCGAAGGGGCCTTTTATTTTAGTCAGGGAAGACCAAAGGGGTCTTGTGTTTTAGTCAGGGAAGACCGAAGGGGCCTTTTATTTTAGTCAGGGAAGACCGAAGGGGCCTTGTGTTTTAGTCAGGGAAGACCAAAGGGGTCTTGTGTTTTAGTCAGGGAAGACCGAAGGGGCCTTGTGTTTTAGTCAGGGAAGACCGAAGGGGTCTTTTATTTTAGTCAGGGAAGACCAAAGGGATCTTGTGTTTTAGTCAGGGAAGACCGAAGGGGTCTTGTGTTTTAGTCAGGGAAGACCGAAGGGGCCTTTTATTTTAGAGACACAGTTTAGTCTCATTTCAATAATTTAATTCACCCTAATTTAATTACGTTCAGAATAATCGAGTGAATATGCATACAGTAGCTGACTTGAGAATTTAACAATGCAAATGATAAAGAGTGTGAGTTTTATTATGGCGGAATGAAGGTATGATTCACCTGTATAGTACCTTAATAGACTCCCAATTCAATATATCTGAAATAGTAATCTTAGTTTAAAATGATTAAATAATCCAACAATGAATAGAATGGGACAGAAATGAGAGATGTCAATGGCTTCCCTTCTCACTCCATTGTGTTATCAGGGAAATGTGAAGAACTCAATTGTCATTAATTATTCAATTAGGGACTGTGCGTTGTAATTGTATTTTACATCCTGGGAATTTTCTATTCTCTCTTGTTCGACTAAGATTCAGCGTATGAATATAGCAATTATCAGAAGATTCCTGAACCATAGCACACTGCCCGCTAATGAGCACCCTAGGGAGGGAGGGAGTGTGAGTGTGTGTGTGTGTTTGTGTGTGTGTGTGTGTGTGTGTGTGTGTGTGTGTGTGTGTGTGTGTGTGTGTGCATTCATGTGTGTGTGTGTGTTGGTACTTCTCAATCAGTTCTCATATTATAAGAGTAATCAAGGTTCGCATTCACATCAGCCAGAGCCTCGTGCTGCCTGTACCATGCTGTTGCCGTGATGATGATTACACACAGTCCTCCTCTTATTTTAGCCGAATGGTGAAAGGCAAATGAACTACAAATGGAAAGTAAGCCTTGATGATTACTAGTCTAATGGTCTCTTCCTTTCTGAGGAGAAGAATATCTAGATTGTATATTGAACAATTTATGGTACACCAGGAATGCTATTAGGACTGAGAAAGTGATATTGATGAGATGAAACACTGATAACACTAGTCTCTCTCAACCACATTCTGCTCACAACTCCCTCTTTCCCTCCTCGGCTCCTCATCCTTTCATCCCTCCCTCCCTCCCTCCCTCCCCTCCCTCCTCCCTCCCTCCCTCCCTCCCTCTTTCCCTCCCCGCTCCTCATCCTTTCATCCCTCCCTCCCTCCCTCTTTCCCTCCTCGGCTCCTCATCCTTTCATCACTCCCTCCCTCCCTCTTTCCCTCCTCGGCTCCTCATCCCTCCCTCTTCTACTCACCACTCCTTATTCCTTACCTCATTTTCAACCCTTCCTACCTCCTAATTCTCACCATTTTCTATCCATTCCCCCTTTCAATCCCTACCTAGAGACACTGTGTATTATATTGATCCATTTAGCTATGTGGTGAACAAGCCCAACCCAGGTAGCCTTTCTGTCTAGACCCTGATATCTTTATTCATGGTGACCTTCCCATCATTCTTCGCCACTTACAGAGACAACATGGCTGCTGGCTGCGGTGAGCTTGTTTTTATGGCAGCACCCTGTTAAATCAGACTTAGTTACTGGTAAATTAGATTATCTGGCGCTGCTCCACACAGTCAGATCCCATTTACCCTGCCTTTCTTCCACATTATTGTGTGTGTGTCCTGTGTGTGTATGTTCTCTGTGTGTGTGTGTGTGTGTGTGTGTGTGAAATCTATGTGCGACACAAATCTTTCCCCGCCCGGATGGAATGAGACAGGGTTACATAGAGGATATGTCAAAAGGTGAGAAGGATGTTTTGGATTTGAATGGTCCATGATTCAATACGTTTGTTGTTCATTTGCATTGCAAATAATGTACTTCTTGCAAGGCATGAATCTATTCATTATTAAAGCCTTCCGTGTAGATGTGTTTGTTGTCTTTCGACATTCATGTTTGTTTTACCGTCTTGAGTTTCCATAGGCTTCTATTGTGTCCACCCCGGAGGGCTTGTGAATGAAGCCAAAATATGTGCATTTTCTCACCCCTGGTGTTTCTTCTTGTGTTTTTATAACATTTTCAATTCCAGGGATAGTTTTGTCACAAATAGCAAATGTGCCGACTCTTGGCACGTGCGCTCTAGCCAACAGCTGGCAGACACAGAGCAGGTAGGCTGTGCATGTAGGCTAGTCTACATGATAAGTTTATAATGGATAAGAGTGAGAATATTTGTATTTGTCAAACAGCAGTCAAGCATCGATCATCATGTCACCAGAATAAGACCCTCAGTATTTATTGGTAAGGAGCATCAAGCTCATCACCTTGTACTTTCACCACCCTGTGAAGTTCATCGTAACTTATTTGATCTGTAGCTAATAAACTGCATGCTTTCCGAGTTGTAGTGGGAGGACCACACAACATATCATCGCTTTACTCCAAGTGTACTTCGATATGATGGTTATTATATCAATATGTGCGCATAAAGATGTTTCCACCACCATTTTTTGCAAAATTAATTTTACAGACACAAAAAAGATAACACCATGTCAAACGCACAAATTATCTGTCAGCATTTATTTAAAAAATGTCCTGTTTCCATCAAAGCTGTCATGATTTTTTAAATATGGTAAGACTTTACTCGCATAAAAACTGTGGATGGAAACGTAGTTATACAAATAATTTAACGATTTCCTCACCCAATCTATCGCATGGAAGACTTCCATGTCAACACCCCCTATACACACACACGCACACACACACACACACACACAACAAGAATGGGGGGGTCCCAATCCCTTTGATGGACATTATGATAATTGGGGTTGTCTGTGAAAAAAGGATTTTTCCCCCATGCCCTTGGTTTAAATTGGGATTTTTTTTAAAATCTCTGGTACAGGGGGGAGGGAAACCAGAAAGGGAGGGATGGGTGGGTGGGAATAAAATGGGGGGTGGGGGTTTTCTTTAGAGCCCCAAATATAGATGGATGGGTGGGGGGGTGGGGGTGAAAGTTAGGGGGGGGGGTTTGGTGAAGGGGATGGGGGGGTGGGGGGGGGTTGTGGAAAGAGGTAGGGGTGGTTGGAACATCCATGTAAGGGAGGGGGTTGGGGGGGGTGGGTGAGAAGATAGTGGGGGGGTTGGGGAAAGAGGGAGGGAGGGGGTGGGTGGGTGGATGGGGTAGAAGGTAGTGGTGGGGGTGGTGGATGGGCCTTCCCTGACAAGGGGATTTACTTGGGCTGGGGTGGGGATAGTGGTGGGGTTTGGGAGGAGCAGTGTAGGGATAAGGGTGGGGGTTGTGGTGGCGTCCCACAGATTTAGATCAATTACAGTGACGTCAGGATCCCACAATCACTAGGTCTTCTCCATCCAATATGAATTGTCCACTGATACAGATTGGAGGGACCAACAAGAGGGATGGGGTGAGAAAATGGGTTGAGATGAGGATAGGAGGATGGTGGGGGTTTCATGACACAGACGGAACCGAACATAAGGTGATGGGATGGGTTGGGTGGGTGGGGGTGAGGAAAAGAGGTAGTGGTGGGGGTTGGAGAGGACCCATGTCATGTAGAGGGATGGGATTGGGTTGGGGTGGGTGAGGAAAGAGGTAGTGGTGGGGGGTTGGAGAGACCCATGTCATGATAGAGGGATGGGATGGGTTGGGGTGGGGTGAGGGAAAAGAGGTAGTGGTGGGGGTTGGAGAGACCCATGTCATGATAGAGGGATGGGATGGGTTGGGGTGGGGGTGAGGAAAAGAGGTAGTGGTGGGGTTGGAGAGACCCATGTCATGATAGAGGGATGGGATGGGTTGGGGTGGGGTGAGGAAAGAGGTAGTGGTGGGGGTTGGAGAGACCCAGGTCATGTTTAGAGGGATAGAGGGATGGGGTGAGGAAAGAAGGTAGTGCGTGGGGGTTGGAGAGACCCATGTCATGATAGAGGGAAGGATGGGTTGGGTGTGGGGTGAGGAAGAGGTAGTGGTGGGGGTTGGAGCGACCCATGTCATGATAGAGGGATGGGTGGGTTGGGGTGGGGTGAGGAAAGAGGGTAGTGGTGGGGTTGGAGGAACCCATGTCATGATAGAGGGATGGGATGGGTTGGGGATGGGGTGGAGGTGAGGAAAGAGGTAGTGGTGGGGGTTGGAGAGACCCCATGTCATGATAGAGGGATGGGATGGGTTGGGGTGGGGTGAGGAACGAGGTAGTGGTGGGGGTTGGAGAGACCCATGTCATGATAGAGGGATGGGATGGGTTGGGGTGGGGTGAGGAAAGAGGTAGTGGTGGGGGTTGGAGAGACCCATGTCATGATAGAGGGATGGGGATGGGTTGGGGTGGGGGTGAGGAAAGAGGTAGTGGTGGGGGTTGGAGACCCATGTCATGATAGAGGGATGGGATGGGTTGGGGTGGGGGTGAGGAAAGAGGTAGTGGTGGGGGGTTGGGAGACCCCATGTCATGATAGAGGGAGGGATGGGTTGGGGTGGGGTGAGGAAAGAGGTAGTGGTGGGGGTTGGAGAGACCCATGTCATGATAGAGGGATGGGATGGGTTGGGGTGGGGTGAGGAAAGAGGTAGTGGTGGGGGTTGGAGAGACCCATGTCATGATAGAGGGATGGGATGGGTTGGGGTGGGGTGAGGAAGGAGAGGAAAGGTGGTGGGGGGTTGGAGAGCACCCATGTCATGATAGAGGGATGGGATGGGTTGGGGTTGGGGGTGAGGAAAGAGGTAGTGGTGGGGGTTGGAGAGACCCATGTCATGATAGAGGGATGGGATGGGTTGGGGTGGGGTGAGGAAAGAGGTAGTGGTGGGGGTTGGAGAGACCCATGTCATGATAGAGGGATGGGATGCGATAGGATGGGGTGAGGAGAAGGGTAGGGTGGGGGGTAGTGGTGGAGTCCCACAGATTTAGATCGATACAGTCCTGGTGCAGGACCCTAACAATATCTAATGTCCTAATGAAACCTTGAAAAGACCTCAACTGTCTCTAAATCCTAAATCCCTTAAAGCCCTAACTGTTGTTGTTTCCCTTTTAAGCCATTTAGGATGGTCCTAAATCCATTTTGAGCCTTTCCGTGGTCAGGCATCCTTATTCTGACCTTCAACATCTCAACAATACACCTCATCTCTAAGATCACGCTCAGCTTAATTTTTTTGGGAATATATTTTTAGCTCAATCTTATAAAAAAACACATTTAGCCTGTTATACATAAATGTTTAAAAAGTATTTGTTTCCAGGCTGTGAAATCAAATGAAGTAATTTCACAAGGCTATGAACCTGGAAATGATGCCTGCTTAAAGATAAATACGTTTCAGAGAGAACAAGGGCGAGGGAGAGGAGAGGGAGCAAAATGTAGCAGGGTGTAGAGGGAGAAAAGGGAGAGGGAGAGTGAGGGAGGGAGAGAGAGATATATATGAGCATATATCTATATTATATACTATCGTATCTCTCGCTCCTCTCTCTCTTCTCTCTCTCTCTCTCTCCTCTAGCCTATCATCACTACTAACTCACTCACTCCCTCACTCACTTCTCTCTCTCTTCTCTCTCTCCTCTCTGGCTCTCTCTTTCTCCCCCTCCTCTCTCTTTCTCCCCCTCCTCTCTCTTTCTCCCCCTCCTCTCTCTCACCAGTGCTTAGTTCTGTTTTAGCTCTGGAGGAAACTCTTTCATTCAAGTTTGCAAACATCGATGGGCTCATACTGCTTCCCGTGCTAACAGCTGTCCATCAGATTTGGTGTAGCTATGTAAGGTGTGGAGAGGTAGAATAATAATGGTGTATTAATGCATATGGTAGGCTACTGACTTTCATGTGATCAACACTCTTCATACAGTACCATTCGTTCTGCCGACTCCAATGGCGTTATGTGTTAAACATATAGAATATGTATGAGCTGTCTACACCATGATACAAATTTCACCTTTATTTAACCAGGTAAGCCAGTTGAGAACAAGTTCTCATTTACAACTACGACCTGGCCAAGATAAAGCAAAGCAGTGCGATAAAAACAACAACACAGAGTTACATATGGGGTAAACAAAACATAAAGTCAAAAATACATTAGAGATGCAATAATTTGGTTATGAGCACATTTTTCATCCATGTACACTGTCAAAGTCATGAGTAAAAGATTAAACTAATGCCCCACTGCCTGAATTTGAATTTCAATGGGTACAAATATCCACTTTTTTAATAGGTTCTTGTTTTGAAAGAAGTTGTAATTCCCTCGGCTTGCTCCCTCATGTCTAATGGTTCTGTAGTCTGCCTGCTTGTTTGTCTGAGAAAGCGAATGAATCTTTCATGATGGTGTAAACATTCATTGTAATACCCAATGCCTATTTTCCCTTCAGACTTGGTGAACATGTGGACAAGTGTTGTGTGTGGTTTGTGTACACTTATAGGTCTGTCTGTTAAACTCCCTCTCTACTTACATAACCAATATCTGGGTTCTAGATGTCTATGTGAACAAATGCGTCAGATCTGATTTTGCTATGTGATTTTGTGTATAATATCGGCACATGATACGGACTGTGTATTGTACAGTGGCTTGCGAAAGTATTCACCCCCCTTGGCATTTTTCCTATTTTGCTGCCTTACAACCTGGAATTAAAATAGATTTTTGGGGGGTTTGTATCATTTGATTTACACAACATGCCTACCACTTCGAAGATGCAAAATATTTTGTCTTGTGAAAGAAACAAGAAATAAGACAAAAAAACGGAAAACTTGAGTCTGCATAACTATTCACCCCCCCCAAAGACAATAGTTTGTAGAGCCACCTTTTGCAGCAATTACAGCTGCAAGTCTCTTGGGGTATGTCTCTATAAGCTTGGCACATCTAGCCACTGGGATTTTTGCCCATTCTTCAAGGCAAAACTGCTCCAGCTCCTTCAAGTTGGATGGATTCCGCTGTGGGGCCCCGTGAAGCTCAGTTGGTAGAGCATGGCGCTTGCAACGCCAGGGTTGTGGGTTCGATTCCCACGGGGGCCAGTATGAAAAAAAAAAAATTATGCACTCACTAACTGTAAGTCGCTCTGGATAAGAGCGTCTGCTAAATGACATGAAATTTAAATGTGTACAGCAATCTTTAAGTCATACCACAGATTCTCAATTGGATTGAGGTCTGGGCTTTGACTAGGCCATTCCCCTTAAACCACTCAAGCGTTGCTTTAGCAGTATGCTTAGGGTCATTGTCCTGCTGGAAGGTGAACCCCCGTCCTAGTCTCAAATCTCTGGAAGACTGAAACAGGTTTCCCTCAAGAATTTCCCTGTATTTAGCACCATCCATCATTCATTCAATTCTGACCAGTTTCCCAGTCCTGCCGATGGAAAACATCCCCACAGCATGAAACTGCTACCACCACGCTTCACTTTGGGGATGGTGTTCTCAGGGTGATGAGAGGTGTTGGGTTTGCGCCAGACATTTTCCTTGATGGCCAAAAAGCTCAATTTTAGTCTCATCTGACCAGAGTACCTTCTTCCATATGTTTGGGGAGTCTCCCACATGCCTTTTGGCGAACACCAAACGTGTTTGCTTATTTTTTTCTTTAAGCAATGGCTTTTTTCTGGCCACTCTTCCGTAAAGCCCAGCTCTGTGGAGTGTACGGCTTAAAGTGGTCCTATGGACAGATACTCCAATCTCCTGCTGTGGAGCTTTGCAGCTCCTTCAGGGTTATCTTTGGTCTCTTTGTTGCCTCTCTGATTAATGCCCTCCTTGCCTGGTCCGTGAGTTTTGGTGGGCAGCCCTCTCTTGGCAGGTTTGTTGTGGTGCCATATTCTTTCCATTTTTTAATAATGGATTCAATGGTGCTCCGTGGGATGTTCAAAGTTTCGGATATTTCTTTATAACCCAACCCTGATCTGTACTTCTCCACAACATTGTCCCTGACCTGTTTGGTGCCCCTTGCTTAGTAGTGTTGCAGACTCTGGTGCCTTTCAGAACATGTGTATATATACACTGAGATCATGTGGCACTTTATTTAACTAATTATGTGACTTCTGAAGGTAATTGGTTGCACCATATCTTATTTAGGGGCTTAATAGCAAAGGGGGTGAATACATATGCACGCACCACTTTTCCGTTATTTATTTTTTTGAATTTTTTGAAACAAGTTCTTTTTTTCATTTCACTTCACCAATTTTGGACTATTTTGTGTATGCCCATTACATGAAATCCAAATACAAATCATATTTAAATTACAGGTTGTAATGCAACAAAATAGGAAAAATGCCAAGGGGATGAATACTTTTGTAAGGCACTGTATGTGTATATAACAGGTATAGACACCCTCACATTCTAAGTATCCTCAGCTAACCTCATATACTGTGTCTCCTGTCTCCCTGTGCCTCCAGGTGAGTATGTAGACCGCCAGCTGTGCCGGGATGCCGTCCTGCCCATGCCTGTCGTCTGTGAGGTGCCTTGCCCCAAGGACTGTGTCCTCAGTCCCTGGACCTCCTGGTCCCTGTGCTCAAACACCTGCTCTGGGAAGAACACAGAGGGAAGACAGATGAGAGCACGCTCCGTACTGGCCTACAACGCTGGGGAAGGTGAGACTACAACCACACAATGCACAGCGTCAGATCTGGTCCCAGATCTGTTTGTGTAGTACAGCCGACTCATATGGTTGTTGTCATGCCAAACATAGGCGTTGACCTATGGGAGTTGGCAAAACCGCACTAAGGGATCTGGGACCAAGCCACACAGCATCAGACCGGGGTTCAAATAGTATCTGTTTTCTTTCAAGTACATTGATGAATAATGGAGCCTGTCTGTATTGCATGCCAGCTGGACAGGGTTTGCACTTTTCTATTGTTTCTGTTGCACCAGATGAGCTCAATCATGTGCAGCTAAAGGATTTGAAAGATAACATTTTCTCCATTTGATCCCAGGTCTGCACAGCATGAGTATCTGAGATCTCATATGAGGCTGCTGAAGCAAGCGTTCCACCAGCCAAATTGTATAAATGATTCTGTATGTTCCTCCTCCACAGCGACTGCTCAGGTTGTAGCCTGGGTTACTGTGATGCAGGGTAAGGTTCTGTGATGTGGCATAGTCACAAGGAATAACAAGCTTGGATACTGTAGGATAGAGGCCTGTACTACTCTCTAGAGCAACATTTTACCATGTTTAGGCTCAAAGCGTCTGAGTGTTGTTGTGAAGTGCTTAGAGCCTTAGTGCTTATTATTCTTTATTGCACCTTTCACAAATGTATGGATGGTAATACAAAATTCATAACAACTTTGCATTTACCTTACTTTAAGGTCTATCGCAGGTGCCCAAGGTTCCTGCACTCTTCGGTACTATAATTTCCTATGTTCTTAGAATGCAGTGTTCCCATAGATGTAGTTATTCAGCCCTGTAGATGTTATAAGTAGATGTATGTAGTCAATATATAGCTACCTGCATACCAATCTATTTCCCCTCACTGCTTGGTCAGCATAATGTTATGCTTGCACTATGTAAAACTTTTACAGACCCTCAACAGTGCAGTGCTAGTAAACAGCATTCCTTAGTGTTAAGTGCTGCCTGAAACCTTAAGGAGAGGAGACTGAAACCCTAAGGAGAGGAGACTGAAACCCTAAGGAGAGGAGACTGAAACCCAAAGGAGAGGAGACTGAAACCCTAAGGAGAGGAGACTGAAACCCTAAGGAGAGGAGACTGAAACCCTAAGGAGAGGAGACTGAAACCCAAAGGAGAGGAGACTGAAACCCTAAGGAGAGGAGACTGAAACCCTAAGGAAAGGCGACTGAAACCCTAAGGAGAGGAGACTGAAACCTCAAGGAGAGGAGACAGAAACCTCAAGGAGAAGAGACTGAAACCATAAGGAGTGGAAACTGAAACCATAAGGAGAAGAGACTGAAACCCTAAGGAGAGAAAACTGAAACCCTAAGGAGAAGAGAAGTGTGGAAGCGGGAGTCTGGTCAGTAATGGAACAAGTGCCTCTGGGTTAGAGTCTTACCGTCTAAGCTGCCAGTCACGCCCTGAGAACCCATCTCTATACAACCCACACTGGGCTGTGTGATCGCCTTGCAGTAGATCAGCATGTTGTAGTGTATTTTATAGTACTGCTATGAATTAAACAGTTCTTGTAGGTGTCCTCCACTGGACCATGGCAAGACAATGAGTACGGTTACATGCACACAATAATGCGATTATTGTGGATAGTCAGATTAATATAATAGTTTGATTAAAATGTTTACATGCTTAGCTAGAAGAACGATGTCTCTAATAATCCTGTTTACATGTACACATCTGATATCAGGCTACCTGATGGCACTCTGATAAATGCAGAAAATCGCTAATCAAAACAAACGTTTTACCACAGCGACCATATTATTTTTGGGAAGCATATTTGATTCTGTGTTCGGACATATAAAGCATGTATGTGAAAACTACTTCTTAAGACGCATACATTCAGTTGTTCCGAACTCACTTCACTCGCTCTAAAGAGGGAGGCTCATTCGGCTGGTGCTAGCACATGCGCAGATCAAATACACAGCTGGAACGCCGTTTAAGGTGTTAACATGTCCTAATCATTTGAAAGATTGCAAAGAAAACCAGGTGTTTTAATTAGGCGTATGCTTACTTCGATTTTGACCTTACGCCGAATAAGATAAGCAGAGTAAGGTGTTTACATGACTATTGCATAATCTGCCTACTGCCATAATCTGTTTAATATTGAATTATTGCGGTGCATGTAAACATATTCAATGTCTGTCGATACCATATTCAAAATACCCACGCAGGAGAGAGAGAGAGAGGGGGAGGGAGGGGGAAAGAGAGATTTCTCTCAGAATGGATACTCGTATGCTCTGGCATAGGGAGGACAGTAACTCCATCGTCGCTGCAGAAACAGAGTCAGGCTGAATGCCTTGCTTCATTTATTAGCCTTCCTACGCCTCAGCAGACAGACACTGTCCAGGACAAACGACAAGCGGTGTGTGTGCGTGCGTGTGTCTGTGTCTGCATCTGCGTGTGTCTGTGCCAGACGCCAGTGTAGTCCTACAGACTCAGCTCTACTGGCCATCTGCTATCACACACACTGATGGAGGACCTCCCAATTCAGGCCCGAATCCTCATTTGAGAGCTGCATAAATTATGGATTGGTTTTAATTTGAGCCTTGTGCCAAAATTCAAGTGGTGTGGTGATCTCAAGTTAGACTCTCAGGGAGTAGAGAGAGCAGTTTGCAGTCAATTGGAGAAAATGGCAGAATAAAAACAACCGGGTAACTCCAACTCAGGGAGAAGTGGGGTTGAGCCCGTAGAGTAATTACATCAGGCCATTTTAGGACACACTCTCATAATAAGACAAAGGATTAGCTGAGGTAGCTTGACCCTCGAGTTACAGTTCAGTTAATAACAATGGTAGGGAGACTTGGCCTTGTTTTACATGTCGTGAAAGGTTACAGGGACTGTGACTCGAAGAGCTCTGTAACGTAACATGGAGGCAAAGGAGGTACTTCATTGTAAAGGATGTAAGAAAACATAATACACTGCTCAAAAAAATAAAGGGAACACTTAAACAACACAATGTAACTCCAAGTCAATCACACTTCTGTGAAATCAAACTGTCCACTTAAGAAGCAACACTGATTGACAATAAATGTCACATGCTGTTGTGCAAATGGAATAGACAACAGGTGGAAATTATAGGCAATTAGCAAGACACCCCCAATAAAGAAGTGGTTCTGCAGGTGGTGACCACAGACCACAGCTTTAGTCCAGGTCTGGGAGGAGATCCCTCAGGAGACCATCCGCCACCTCATCAGGAGCATGCCCAGGCGTTGTAGGAAGGTCATACAGGCACGTGGAGGCCACACACACTACTGAGCCTCATTTTGACTTGTTTTAAGGACATTACATCAAAGTTGGATCAGCCTGTAGTGTGGTTTTCCACTTTAATTTTGAGGGTGACTCCAAATCCAGACCTCCATGGGTTGATACATTTGATTTCCATTGATAATTTTTGTGTGATTTTGTTGTCAGCACATTCAACTATGTAAAGAAAAAAGTATTTAATAAGATTATTTCATTCATTCAGATCTAGGATGTGTTGTTTAAGTGTTCCCTTTATTTTTTTGAGCAGTGTATAACCTCTGCATGATTTTTATGGTCAGAGACCTTTTACAAGACTAATAATGGCACTACCAGCAAAGCAGATATTCAATAAACCACACTGAGTCAGAGTTCAACAGTTTTATTAGTAACACTGAAACATTCAAATACAGCTTTACAACCTCATTAATTAACCATAGTACCAGTAATGACATAACATACGATCCCTATACCTGACTACCTAATGTCTCTTGGATGGAAAAAAGTCAATAGCATCTTTTATAAATGACCCGTTGTCATTGACCCGCTACAGAGGTCAATTATATATCTTCGCTCTGTGTGGCTTTTGAAGACAGAAGCATCTCCTTATGTACGCTTCATCTGTTTTCCCTTGCTCCACCAATGATTGGCTGATCTCGGTCCTTCTCCAGCATTGATTGGAGGATCGCGGTGGTCCTCCATCATTGATTGGTCAATATCAGTCCTTCTCCTTCATTGGCTGGTGGATCTCATTGATTGGCCACTGCCCGTTGCGGTGGTAATGGCTGACCTTCCCCTCGGGGGTCTGGTATGAAAAAAAATAAAAAATGTATACACTCACTAACTGTAAGTCGCTCTGGATAAGAGCGTCTGCTAAATGACTAAAATGTAAATGTAAATGTATCCCAGCGCAACAGAGCCTGCTAATGTCTGACATCCCATCGTGGTGAGGGGTGGTTAAGGGTCACACACACACAGATACAACACACACACATGAAGACCATCTGTGGTGAGGGGTGGAAAAGGGGTCACATGCGGTCCACCTGGTGTCCAAGATACTGTCAGACCCCGGGTCAACTCATCTCCATTGTCTCCATCTTCATGACTGCTTTCTCCCAAGGGACTATACTGGTTTATTTAGCTCAGACACTGCTGTACTAATGTTTTTAACCCAATGAGTGGAACTTACTCACTTTCTCGTTATGATAAGATGACAACATATTCGCAACTTACAAAGCTTAGCAAATAAATCCTATTGGCTGAGCTGTCTTGTTCCCAGCAAATCAAGGCAAACCACACTCATGTAACTGAGTAGTATCTCCTGTATTTGAATGTGGTGTTTGTGCTTCTGCTTCCTCTTTGGGGTCTTTTTGACAACTGCTGTCGGGGTTTATAAATACATTTGATTGATTGGAAATGTGGTTGTTGTGTGTTTGACAGGCGGAATCCAGTGCCCCAACAGCAGTGCTCTCCAGGAGGTGCGGAGCTGCAACGATCACCCTTGTACTGTGTACCACTGGCAGACCGGGCCCTGGGGACAGTGTATCGAGGACACCTCGGTTCCCTCTGCCAACTCCACAGGGGCTCGGGTTGGAGTCGGGGGAGGGGACTCCTCCTGCTCTGTGGGGATGCAGACACGGAAGGTCATCTGTGTCCGGGTCAATGTGGGACAGGTGCCTCCTAAAAAGTAAGAGTCTCTCCTTCAAAATAAGAGTTCCTTTTTCAAAGTATGAGTTCCACCTTCACTGTAATAATAATAATAATAATAATAATAATAATAATAATAATAATAATAATAATAATAATAATAATAATGGTATTTATATAGCGCTTTTCAAGCACCCAAAGTTGTAAGAGTAAGAGTTTTTCCTTCAAAGAGATAACTGAATGCCAACATAAGTAGTATAGGAATATAATATTTGTGTAAAGTGAGAGAGGATTATTACTTGTTCAAGCAAATTACAGAAATTAAATGTGAGTAGAGCGTTTATACTTATGCTGATTTGGCATAATACGTATGCAGGGTTCCATAAGCCTTTGCTAAGCATAAATCAAAGCACCAAAGCACAGAGCATTTGTCCCAGAATCTGTCTATGGAAGGAACAAAATCCTATTGTTACCACTGTCTGGCTGGCTGCATAGCTGTAAGATGATGGGTTCCCTGACAGGTTTCTGCCTGGGTTCCAGACAGTTTTTCTAAAGCATCTGGGTTCTCCCTCCCTACCACCCTTAGGGCATCTTAGGGACGTGAATTATATTGAATTATCTATTTATTTATTCAACTTTAATAGTAGCATTATTATGCAGGAAGAGCTGGAGCTACTAGGCAGACTGGGATGAGCTAGATCCCATGCTGGGTATGGAAATGAGCCCTGGACAGTTTTATTACTGCGGTTTCTGATTCTTCTATCCAGGGTTTTATTTTACCCAGCTACCACTTCACACTATCGCACCATGCTGCACATACAGTGGGGAGAATAAGTATTTGATACACTGCCGATTTTGCAGGTTTTCCAAAAATCCAGAAAATCACAGAAAATCACATTGTATGATTTTTAAGTAATTAATTTGCATTTTATTGCATGACATACGTATTTGATACATCAGAAAAGCAGAACTTAATATTTGGTACAGAAACCTTTGTTTGCAATTACAGAGATCATACGTTTCCTGTAGGTCTTGACCAGGTTTGCACACACTGCAGCAGGGATTTTGGCCCACTATTCCATACAGACCTTCTCCAGATCCTTCAGGTTTTAGGTCTGTCGCTGGGCAATACGGACTTTCAGCTTCCTCCAAAGATGTTCTATTGGGTTCAGGTCTGGAGACTGGCTAGGCCACTCCAGGACCTTGAGATGCTTCTTACGGAGCCACTCCTTAGTTGCCCTGGCTGTGTGTTTCGGGTCGTTGTCATGCTGGAAGACCCAGCCACGACCCATCTTCAATGCTCTTACTGTGGGAAGGAGGTTGTTGGCCAAGATCTCGTGATACATGACCCCATCCATCCTCCCCTCAATAGGGTGCAGTCCTCCTGTCCCCTTTGCAGAAAAATCATCCCCAAAGAATGATGTTTCCACCTCCATGCTTCACGGTTGGGATGGTGTTCTTGGGGTTGTACTGATCCTTCTTCTTCCTCCAAACACGGCAAGTGGAGTTTAGACCAAAAAGCTCTATTTTTGTCTAATCAGACCACATGACCTTCTCCCATTCCTCCTCTGGATCATCCAGATGGTCATTGACAAACTTCAGATGGGCCTGGACATGCGCTGGCTTGAGCAGGCGGACCTTGCGTGTGCTGCAGGATTTTAATCCATGATGGCGTAGTGTGATACTAATGGTTTTCTTTGAGACTGTGGTCCCAGCTCTCTTCAGGTCATTGACCAGGTCCTGCCGTGTAGTTCTGGGCTGATCCCTCACCTTCCTCATGATCATTGATGCCCCACAAGGTGAGATCTTGCATGGAGCCCCAGACCGAGGGTGATTGACCGTCATCTTGAACTTCTTCCATTTTCTAATAATTGCACCAACAGTTGTTGCCTTCTCACCAAGCTGCTTGCCTATTGTCCTGTAGCCCATCCCAGCCTTGTGCAGGTCTACAATTTTATCGCTGATGTCCTTACACAGCTCTCTGGTCTTGGCCATTGTGGAAAGGTTGGAGTCTGTTTGATTGAGTGTGTGGACAGGTGTCTTTTATACAGGTAACGAGTTCAAACAGGTGCAGTTAATACAGATAATGAGTGGAGAACAGGAGGGCTTCTTAAAGAAAAACTAACAGGTCTGTGAGAGTCGGAATTCTTACTGGTTGGTAGGTGATCAAATACTTATGTCATGCAATGAAATGCTAATTAATTACTTAAAAAGCATACAATGTGATTTTCTGGATTTTTGTTTTAGATTCCGTCTCTCACAGTTGAAGTGTACTATGATAAAAATGACAGACCTCTACATGCTTTGTAAGTAGGAAGACCTGCAAAATCGGCAGTGTATCAAATACTTGTTCTCCCCACTGTAGTTACAGCTGCTGAACTACTATCACTAAACACATGCACCCACTAGGTTTGGGACTATATACTAATATACCGTGATATCAAATAATGAAATCGTATAATGTCATGACTGAAACGGGTATGATATGCTAATGAGTTCATTACCATTTAACAGGACATGAATAAATTAACAATGTAGCACTGTTGCAGAGGGTATATGATATTCAAAGCAATGTACATTAGGGGCTCAATCTGCAGCCCTAAAACCAATTATTCATAATATACTGGGAGAATCTCTGCAGTAGTCCTTAGACCAATGACCCCATATTTATATATATCAGAAGCAGTGATATTATTTTGACCAGACAAATATGCATTCATTAACATAAGCGGTACATGCACACATCTCAACACATTCAGATTTTGACACATTCAAGCACCCCATCCCCAGCTCAACACAGTATGGTTCTTTTGGCTCTATCAGAGAAGCTGGGGATGATATTCTGTGTGTTTGTGTATGTGTATCAAGCACAGGGGTGTCAAACTAATTCCATGGAGGGCCTAGTGTCTGCTGGTTTTTGGTTTTTCCTTTCAATTAAGAGCTTTCATTTAAGGGGAATTCCTTACTAATCAGTGACCTTAATTCATCAATCAAGTACAAGGGAGGAGCGAAAACCCACAGACACTTGGCCCTCCGTGGAATGAGATTGACACATGTGATCTAGATGATGTGATTTCATGTGATTTCAGGTGTCCGGAGAGTATTCGTCCTGAGACGGTCAGGCCCTGCCTCCTGCCGTGTAAAAGAGACTGTATCGTCACCCCATACAGCGACTGGAGCGCCTGCCCTGCCACATGCAAAGCAGGTACCTACTAGCCTTCTCAATATTCACAAGAATACACAGATATAAAACAATGTACAGCCTCTCAACGCATTCAAGTACACACAGATATTGTTTGTTGTGTTTGGCAAAAATGCAATTATGTCAAGAGATGTACAATATGCCAAGCAGGTACATCCTATTATTCTCAAGTATTCATTACAGCATATACAGATACAGAGCAGTCTGTCCATGGCAAAAATGCTCAAGAGATGTAGCCTATGCCATGTGATTTTGAAATGAGCCCGTGCTTAAAAGCATTTCAAGGAATTCATTACAACAGAGAATGCTAAATAATAGTGGGTCTGTCATTAAGTGTTTGTTTCCTAGTTTCGACAGCCCCGACAAATCTGATAAACAAAACACTTGCACCATTATGAAATGATTACTCTTCTCCTCATCAAATGTTTCAGTTTGAGCTGAGAGAATCATTAGGAGAGCTGTCAAAGGTTACCAGAAACAAAATTGTAGACCTGCACCAGGCTGGGAAGACTGAATCTGCAATAGGTAAGCAGCTTGGTTTGAAGAAATCAACTGTGGGAGCAATTATTAAGAAATGGAAGACATACAAGACCACTGATAATCTCCCTCGATCTGGGGCTCCACGCAAGATCTCACCCCGTGGGGTCAAAATGATCACAAGAACGGTGAGCAAAAATCCCAGAACCACACGGGGGGACCTAGTGAATGACCTGCAGAGAGCTGGGACCAAAGTAACAAAGCCTACCATCAGTAACACACTACGCCACCAGGGACTCAAATCCTGCAGTGCTAGACGTGTCCCCCTGCTTAAGCCAGTACATGTCCAGGCCCGTCTGAAGTTTGCTAGAGTGCATCCAGAAGAGGATTGGGAGAAAGTCATATGGTCAGATGAAACCAAAATATAACTTTTTGGCAAAAACTCAACTTGTCGTGTTTGGAGGACAAAGAATGCTGAGTTGCATCCAAAGAACACCATACCTACTGTGAAGCATGGGAGTGAAAACATCATTCTTTGGGGCTGTTTTTCTGCAAAGGGACCAGGACGACTGATCCGTGTAAAGGAAAAATGAATGGGGCCATGTATCGTGAGATTTTGAGTGAAAACCTCCTTCCATCAGCAAGGGCATTGAAGATGAAACGTGGCTGGGTCTTTCAGCATGACAATGATCCCAAAACACCGCCCGGGCAACGAAGGAGTGGCTTCGTAAGAAGCATTTCAAGGTCCTGGAGTCTCCAGATCTCAACCCCATAAAAAATCTTTGGAGGGAGTTGAAAGTCCGTGTTGCCCAGCGACAGCCCCAAAACATCACTGCTCTAGAGGAGATCTGCATGGAGGAATGGGCCAAAATACCAGCAACAGTGTGTGAAAACCTTGTGAAGACTTACAGAAAACGTTTGACCTGTGTCATTGCCAACAAAGGGTATATAAGAAAGTATTGAGAAACTTTTGATTTTCATGTCAAAACCGTAATTCACTTAGGAGCTGTGACATCCTAAAACAGCAACCAACGAACACGCATTGTTGCTTGGCAACATTTTTCTATACCAAGAACTAGAACAAATGCTGCTAATAAGCAAAAAGTGCTGGGACATTTATGAAGCAATTTGCCCGCACTGCAACAACCTCTTTGTGAGCTAGAAAATGCTTGTTAGGATACATGTTTCTGTGATTTCCATTTCCTGTGAGTGAGTGTTATATTCATGAAATACTTGACATGATTACTCTCCAGAAACATCTGCTAAGCAATCTTATATAGAGTCTAAAGAACAGTCCTTGGGCTTGTTTTCCTAGTCTTCTATTCTTTAATCTGCCTCTGTTAGTAATCTTGCAGGTATTATTTCACATTTGGCATCCAGATCATGTGGCTTTACTAGGAGTATATGGTAATGATTTTGTCCTTCTCCTATGAGAACAATCACAACTCTCAATATAACAGCAGATCCTACCATATAAATACAGTATCTATCTCTAACTACAGCAGCTAGCTACAGTGGGGAAAAAAGTATTTAGTCAGCCACCAATTGTGCAAGTTCTCCCACTTAAAAAGATGAGAGAGGCCTGTAATTTTCATCATAGGTACACGTCAACTATGACAGACAAAATGAGAAAAAAAAATCCAGAAAATCACATTGTAGGATTTGTAATGAATTTATTTGCAAATTATGGTGGAAAATAAGTATTTGGTCAATAACAAAAGTTTCTCAATACTTTGTTATATACCCTTTGTTGGCAATGACACAGGTCAAACGTTTTCTGTAAGTCTTCACAAGGTTTTCACACACTGTTGCTTGTATTTTGGCCCATTCCTCCATGCAGATCTCCTCTAGAGCAGTGATGTTTTGGGGCTGTCGCTGGGCAACACAGACTTTCAACTCCCTCCAAAGATTTTCTATGGGGTTGAGATCTGGAGACTGGCTAGGCCACTCCAGGACCTTGAAATGCTTCTTACGAAGCCACTCCTTCGTTGCCCGGGCGGTGTGTTTGGGATCATTGTCATGCTGAAAGACCCAGCCACGTTTCATCTTCAATACCCTTGCTGATGGAAGGAGGTTTTCACTCAAAATCTCACGATACATGGCCCCATTCATTCTTTTCTTTACACGGATCAGTCGTCCTGGTCCCTTTGCAGAAAAACAGCCCCAAAGCATGATGTTTCCACCCCCATGCTTCACAGTAGGTATGGTATTCTTTGGATGCAACTCAGCATTCTTTGTCCTCCAAACACGACGAGTTGAGTTTTTACCAATAAGTTCTTTTTTGGTTTCATCTGACCATATGACATTCTCCCAATCCTCTTCTGGATCATCCAAATGCACTCTAGCAAACTTCAGACGGGCCTGGACATGTACTGGCTTAAGCAGGGGGACACGTCTGCACTGCAGGATTTGAGTCCCTGGCGGCATAGTGTGTTACTGATGGTAGGCTTTGTTACTTTGGTCCCAGCTCTCTGCAGGTCATTCACTAGGTCCCCCCGTGTGGTTCTGAGATTTTTGCTCACCGTTCTTGTGATCATTTTGACCCCACGGGGTGAGATCTTGCGTGGAGCCCCAGATCGAGGGAGATTATCAGTGGTCTTGTATGTCTTCCATTTCCTAATAATTGCTCCCACAGTTGATTTCTTCAAACCAAGCTGCTTACCTATTGCTGATTCAGTCTTCCCAGCCTGGTGCAGGTCTACAATTTTGTTTCTGGTGTCCTTTGACAGCTCTTTGGTCTTGGCCATAGTGGAGTTTGGAGTGTGACTGTTTGAGGTTGTGGACAGGTGTCTTTTATACTGATAACAAGTTCAAACAGGTGCCATTAATACAGGTAACGAGTGGAGGACAGAGGAGCCTCTTAAAGAAGAAGTTACAGGTCTGTGAGAGCCAGAAATCTTGCTTGTTTGTAGGTGACCAAATACTTATTTTCCACCATAATTTGCAAATAAATTCATAAAAAATCATACAATGTGATTTTCTGGGGAAAAAAAATCTCAATTTGTCTGTCATAGTTGACGTGTACCTATGATGAAGATTACAGGCCTCTCTCATCTTTTTAAGTGGGAGAACTTGCACAATTGGTGGCTGACTAAATACTTTTTTCCCCCACTGTATCTCTATGGATCCTACATTGCAACACGGATATGGCCACTGTAATATAATCCTGATAGAGATATGGATTACTGCCTGTACTGTATATAGCCTAGATATGGACTTCCTGTAAGGACAATATAACCTCACTGAGGTGGGTGGACGATAGCACAGAAGAGAAGCCCATATCAATCAATATGCCATACTTGATTTCATTACCTTCTCTCAGAACTGGTAAAGATCTGCTGTAGAACACTAAACTAGAGAGAGCTGGGAACCAACTGTGCTCCTTCATTATGTTTCATGAGCAAGCTTAATGACACACAGCTGCTAAAAGTCAACCGCAAAAAAAACGTACTTGTTTTACAAGGACCTTTTCAAGGACCTGTGATTACTCAAGTACGTAACAGGCATTCATCATAATAATTTCACACTTCTAGGCCCAATGGAAGTTGCTTGAGTGCTGCTGTTATTGTCTCTGTCTATTGATTGGGCCAGTGTGTGAATAAAGTGCTTTTCTATTGGTTCTTATAAGGTGGCAACACGAAAAGGAAACAGAACAGGAAACGCATCATCATCCAGCTGTCAGCCAATGGCGGACAGGACTGCCCGGAGGTGTTGACTCAGGAGAGAGACTGTGAAGCGCCGTCTGTCTGTCTGGGATACAGGTAAGGCTCCATCACCCTCCAAGACCACTCTACTCAGTATGTAGTCTCTCTTGACTAAAGAGGTGCCAAGTTAACTACACTCTTAGAAAAAAAGGTGCTATCTAGAGTCTAAAATTGTTCTTCAGCTGTCCCCATAGGAGAACCCTTTGAAGAACCCTTTTTGGTTCTAGGTTGAACCCTTTTGAGTTCCATGTAGAACCCTTTACACAGAGGGTCAGCCGAAGAGCCCTTTTGGAACCCTTTTTTCTCAGAGTGTAGAGCAAGACTTTGACTCTCAAGATGACTCAGCTGTGTTCTGTTTCTTGTATTGCAGGTGGAAGACACATAAGTGGCGGCGATGCCAGTTGGTTCCCTGGTCCGTGCGTCAGGACAGTCCTGGAGCTGTGGAGACCTGTGGGCCTGGGCTGCAGGCTAGAGGTGAGCAACAACATTTTGCATGCACTAGCTACTCCATTTGATTCTCGGGGCGAAGTGTTCAAATCTGTGCTGACAGAAATAGTAGAATCGAACCGTCTATCCAAACCTCCTCCCTGGCGTGGATTAGTTACATTAAGGTTCAAAGACAAAATGTCATTGCAGTGGATTGCTTTGTGTTGAGCTTGACGGAGCTTGACATAGTGTGGCAACAATGCATCTATCTGACTTCAATTTCCAAAATGGTGGCAGTCAGTGAATTGAGGACAGAGAATTCTTCTTCCACTCCTTGCATCAGACCTCTATTAGAATCTTGAAGAGAGTAGGCCATTATCTGATCAGATGATGAGCACCTTTCAACTTTCGTCTTCACACTCCACATTAGGCCCCATTACCTGTAATGGTATCTGTGTAGACATTGACGCAGGTGGAGAGACAATTCAATACAGAGCTCTTACTCCTCCTCACTCAATGCTATCTGGTCTGTTTGGGTGGGAAAGTCAATAGACATTACACTATGTTCAGTTTCATCACTTACCCTTGTTCTCAGCTCTGTGTGTGTTTCTAACTGAGAGAACCGGAGACAGAGTGTGCGTATGAAATGTAACCCTATTCCCTATGTAGTGCACTACTTTTGACTAGATCACTACAGGGAATAGGGTGTAATTTGGAATGGAATCTAGAGTCACACCACCTAGTAATGAGTCATTCCGGATCCCACAGTGACAGTACTGTAGGTTAATCATCACTTAAAACACGTTCAGGTCTTGATCGCCTGTGATGGGACTGCCGTGTTTACATCCAAATGCAGCCAAAGGGTATTAACCAAATGAGATTGGGCCAGCAATAGAAAATGGCCAACGTGTACCAAAGCTTACTGCCTCACACCATCCCAACCTCCACCACCCAATCATTCCTTTTTCTCACACCATCCCAACCTCCACCACCCAATCATTCCTTTTTCTTTCTTTCTTTCTTTCTTTCTTTCTTTCTTTCTTTCTTTCTTTCTTTCTTTCTTTCTTTCTTTCTTTCTTTCTTTCTTTCTTTCTTTCTTTCTTTCTTTCTTTCTTTCTTTCTTTCTATAGCTGTCTCATGCCGGAAGCAAGATGGGGGTCAAGCGGACATGGGAGCATGTCTGAAGTTCGCCAGCTCCATGCCCTCTCTGACCCAGCCCTGTCAGCTCCCATGCCAGGATGACTGCCAGCTAACCACCTGGTCCAAGTTCTCTTCCTGTACACAGGACTGTGTGGGCGTCAAGACCCGCAAGAGGATGCTAGTGGGTGAGTGGACTGGAGTAGGCCGTACAAGTACCGTAAACTAACTAACTTAGTCCTCTTTGTCTCTGAATGGACTGGAGTAGGCCGTACAAGTACCGTAAACTAACTAACTTAGTCTTCTTTGTCTCTGAATGGACTGGAGTAGGCCGTACAAGTACAGTAAACTAACTAACTTAGTCCTCTTTGTCTCTGAATGGACTGGAGTAGGCCGTACAGTAAACTAACTAACTTAGTCCTCTTTGTCTCTGAGTGGATTGGAGTAGGCCGTACAGTAAACTAACTAACTTAGTCCTCTTTGTCTCTGGAGGGACACAATGTGACTGGAGTCTGTCTTAACCACAGCTTGCAAGTACAGTAGAAATCATTCCTAAATGCTGATACAGGCTCAGATATTTTAATTTCTTTCATCCCCCTAATGGTTAAGGTTAGTATGAGGGTTAGATCATATTTCCTATGATCCTGTAGATCTGTTAAGAGCAGCTTTCTACCTAAAGAGACTTAAGTACTTGACATGACTTCCAGAGCGACTGAGACAGTATCACTGCTTAGTCGGATGCCAGTGTCACAAATCTCATTTGGGCAGTCAACGGTCTAAGTGCCCTCCATGGTATGCCTTGAGGTCAGTTGAATGTATAGCCTAAAGGATTATATAGGATAAGCCTATAGGACCCTGGGATTCTTCAGATTCTTCAGGATAAGCTCATGTTGCTAGAAGTGACTCTTATCGAAACAAACAAATATTTTCACATGGTCCAAACAAATATGTTCACGTTGCGTTTTCACCTGGTCCAAGATAGTGGAGATAGAGTAAAAACATAAATGATATGATAATCTCTATCCTTAATCTGGATCCAGGATACCGGCTTGTTACAATGTTTATTTCAATTCTGGCAGCCAATGTGGAATGACCTCATTCTGGGCTCTCACCAGTTCAAACAATGACCATTCGGTATGTGCTATTCTCCGGCAGGGCCGGAGCTGTGATTTAGACACAGGCAGACTGCATATCAGTTTTGATTGATTGCCTGTCCTTCCTTCCTCCCTTCTCTCTTCCCAGGGAAGAGCAAAAAGCGAGACCAGTGTAAGAACAACCAGGTGTACCCCCTCAGCGAGATCCAGTACTGCCCCTGTAACAAGTACAATGCCCAGCCCGTGGGGAACTGGTCGGACTGCATCCTACCTGAGGGTGGGCGTGTGGAGGGCCAGCTGGGCATGAAGGTCCAGGGGGACATCAAGGAGTGTGGCCAGGGCTACCGCTACCAGGCCATGGTGTGTTACGACCAGGACAACAGACTGGTGGAGACGTCACGGTGCAACAGCCACGGTGAGTCCTAAAGGCCTCTCACCAACATCCTATTATTGTTCATGTGTATAAGCTGTAAGTCACCTCGCTATGTTATGTTGGTTAGTCTACCTTTGTCACGGTGCAACAGCTACGGTGAGTCACTCGGAGTGTCTGAAACATCCAGTGTCTCTCTTCAACCTCTACCATCTCTCATTAACTCACTTAAAGTTGTATGCATTAAACATAGCCACTGTGATTTATACAAGGTGTCTGTATTTCCAATTAAAGGCATGCTCAGTGATTTGACATCATCATACACAGCGAGACACTTCCTGTTACAGAAAACAACAACGACGAGTGTAGAGAAATACAAGATAAGGCAATTGGAAACACTTTGGTTTTGGTCTTTGGAATTCTCATCAATTTGTTACAGCTCCTTATTTAATAAATTTAGAGAACGTTGTTCCCTTGTTCTCTCCATCAAGAGAATAATTATTCCACCATTTACATATGTGTTCTATTGATTTGTCTCCATTCAACCCAATTTGCTGTTAGACTGGGAATGCAGAGTTTCCCTCATCTCACTGTCCTTTTCAGCATCCCCTGATTGTAAATTCAATAGAGAACAAATTAATGTGGTAACGGAGTGGATGCAGGATGCAGTCGCTCCGCCCCTAGCCCAAATCTGTCAGAGGAACTTCAATCAAATTTCAATCAATCAATCTAATTTATTTATAAAGCCCTTTTTACATCAGCAAAGTGCTTATACAGAAACCCAGCCTAAAACCCCAAACAGCAAGCGATGCAGATGTAGAACATCAGAGCTGCTTTCTTCCCAACTAGCTGTATTAGCATTTAGGAATACACAGCAGCATCGCCATCGAACCAATGCAGAGAAGAAATGTAGGAATCACAGTGCTGTCGTGTCTTCCATGTTAACCCGTGGAAGACGCAGCACTTCGTCAAAGTGCTTATAGCAGTGAGTGGGTTTCAGTGTTTGTTCTCTGTAAAAACCCAACCCTATGAATCATAGCTTCACTTACAGTATGGGGCCTGTGGTGTTGTTGATGGTGTAGAACTGTGACGTGATGAGACGTCACAAGCAATTGCTATTGCTGTACTCTAGCTAATGCTATTGTATGTGTACCTCTCCAACACCACTGTGCCCTACACGTCACACTATGCTTCGGGTGGCATTTATTCCAGCTTAAGCAACCATAGGAGATCAGTGATGGTGCTATAGCTACAGTGGGGAAAAAAATTATTTAGTCAGCCACCAATGGTCCAAGTTCTCCCACTTAAAAAGATGATAGAGGCCTGTAATTTTCATCATTGGTACACGTCAACTATGACAGACAAATTGAGAAAAAAATTCCAGAAAATCACATTGTAGGATTTTTAATGAATTTATTTGCAAATTATGGTGGAAAATAAGTATTTGGTCACCTACAAACAAGCAAGATTTCTGGCTCTCACAGACCTGTAACTTCTTCTTTAAGAGGCTCCTCTGTCCTCCACTCGTTACCTGTATTAATGGCACCTGTTTGAACTTGTTATCAGTATAAAAGACACCTGTCCACAACCTCAAACAGTCACACTCCAAACTCCACTATGGCCAAGACCAAAGAGCTGTCAAAGGACACCAGAAACAAAATTGTAGACCTGCAGCAGGCTGGGAAGACTGAATCTGCAACAGGTAAGCAGCTTGGTTTGAAGAAATCAACTGTGAGAGCAATTATTAGGAAATGGAAGACATACAAGACCACTGATAATCTCCCTCAATCTGGGGCTCCACGCAAGATCTCACCCCGTGGGGTCAAAATGATCACAAGAACGGTGAGCAAAAATCCTAGAACCACACGGGGGGACCAAGTGAATGACCTGCAGAGAGCTGGGACCAAAGTAACAAAGCCTACCATCAGTAACACACTACGCCGCCAGGGACTCAAATCCTGCAGTGCCAGACGTGTCCCCCTGCTTAAGCCAGTACATGTCCAGGCCCGTCTGAAGTTTGCTAGAGTGCATTTGGATGATCCAGAAGAGGATTGGGAGAATGTCATATGGTCAGATGAAACCAAAATATAACTTTTTGGTAAAAACTCAACTCGTCGTGTTTGGAGGACAAAGAATGCTGAGTTGCATCCAAAGAACACCATACCTACTGTGAAGCATGGTGGTGGAAACATCATGCTTTGGGGCTGTTTTTCTGCAAAGGGACCAGGACGACTGATCCGTGTAAAGGAAAGAATGAATGGGGCCATGTATCGTGAGATTTTGAGTGAAAACCTCCTTCCATCAGCAAGGGCATTGAAGATTAAACGTGGCTGGGTCTTTCAGCATGACAATGATCCCAAACACACCGCCCGGGCAACGAAGGAGTGGCTTCGTAAGAAGCATTTCAAGGTCCTGGAGTGGCCTAGCCAGTCTCCAGATCTCAACCCCATAGAACATCTTTGGAGGGAGTCGAAAGTCCGTGTTGCCCAGCGACAGCCCCAAAACATCACTGCTCTAGAGGAGATCTGCATGGAGGAATGGGCCAAAATACCAGCAACAGTGTGTGAAAACCTTGTGAAGACTTACAGAAAATGTTTGACCTGTGTCATTGCCAACAAAGGGTACACAGTGGGGGAAAAAAGTATTTAGTCAGCCACCAATTGTGCAAGTTCTCCCACTTAAAAAGATGAGAGAGGCCTGTAATTTTCATCATAGGTACACATCAACTATGACAGACAAAATGAGGAAAAAAAATCCAGAAAATCACATTGTAGGATTTTTTATGAATTTATTTGCAAATTATGGTGGAAAATAAGTATTTGGTCAATAACAAAAGTTTATCAATACTTTGTTATATACCCTTTGTTGGCAATGACACAGGTCAAACGTTTTCTGTAAGTCTTCACAAGGTTTTCACACACTGTTGCTGGTATTTTGGCCCATTCCTCCATGCAGTTCTCCTCTAGAGCAGTGATGTTTTGGGGCTGTCGCTGGGCAACACAGACTTTCAACTCCCTCCAAAGATTTTCTATGGGGTTGAGATCTGGAGACTGGCTAGGCCACTCCAGGACCTTGAAATGCTTCTTGCGAAGCCACTCCTTCGTTGCCCGGGCGGTGTGTTTGGGATCATTGTCATGCTGAAAGATCCAGCCACATTTCATCTTCAATGCCCTTGCTGATGGAAGGAGGTTTTCACGCAAAATCACACGATACATGGCCCCATTCATTCTTTCCTTTACACGGATCAGTCGTCCTGGTCCCTTTGCAGAAAAACAGCCCCAAAGCATGATGTTTCCACCCCCATGCTTCACAGTAGGTATGGTGTTCTTTGGATGCAACTCAGCATTCTTTGTCCTCCAAACACGACAAGTTCTATTTTGGTTTCATCTGACCATATGACATATGACATTCTCCCAATCCTCTTCTGGATCATCCAAATGCACTCTAGCAAACTTCAGACGGGCCTGGACATGTACTGGCTTAAGCAGGGGGACACGTCTGGCCCTGCAGGATTTGAGTCCCTGGCGGCGTAGTGTGTTACTGATGGTAGGCTTTGTTAATTTGGTCCCAGCTCTCTGCAGGTCATTCACTAGGTCCCCCCGTGTGGTTCTGGGATTTTTGCTCACCGTTCTTGTGATCATTTTGACCCCACGGGGTGAGATCTTGCGTGGAGCCCCAGATCGAGGGAGATTATCAGTGGTCTTGTATGTCTTCCATTTCCTAATAATTGCTCCCACAGTTGATTTCTTCAAACCAAGCTGCTTACCTATTGCAGATTCAGTCTTCCCAGCCTGGTGCAGGTCTACAATTTTGTTTATGGTGTCCTTTGACAGCTCTTTGGTCTTGGCCATAGTGGAGTTTGGAGTGTGACTGTTTGAGGTTGTGGACAGGTGTCTTTTATACTGATAACAAGTTCAAACAGGTGCCATTAATACAGGTAACGAGTGGAGGACAGAGGAGCCTCTTAAAGAAGAAGTTACAGGTCTGTGAGAGCCAGAAATCTTGCTTGTTTGTAGGTGAACAAATACTTATTTTCCACCATAATTTGCAAATAAATTCATAAAAAATCCTACAATGTGATTTTCTCGATGTTTTTTCTCAATTTGTCTGTCATAGTTGACGTGTACCTATGATGAAAATTACAGGCCTCTCTCACCTTTTTAAGTGGGAGAACTTGCACAATTGGTGGCTGACTAAATACTTTTTTTCCCCACTGTATAACAAAGTATTGAGAAACTTTTGTTATTGACCAAATACTTATTTTCCACCATAATTTGCAAATAAATTCATTAAAAATCCTACAATGTGATTTTCTGGATTTTATTTTCTCAATTTGTCTGTCATAGTTGACGTGTACCTATGATGAAAATTACAGGCCTCTCTCATCTTTTTAAGTGGGAGAACTTGCACAATTGGTGGCTGACTAAATACTTTTTTTCCCCACTGTATACAGGAGTCACTGGTATTGTAGCTCTATTGCTTCAACACCTCAATTAACCTACCTGATTGGCTCCCACACGTGCTATGGATTAATTTATTTTATTTTTTATAATAATGTATTATATTATTATAATAAAAAAATGTATACATTAAATTACAAATAAATACAAATAAAAAAAGGAAAATAAATTATATTAAAATACATGGGACATGAAAAGGTATATGGTTACCTACACACCTTTCAAACCAACTTTAGCATCCAGACACATTTTTTCTGCCTTTTGTTATATCTGAAAGGTGTTGCCGACATCAAAGCCTAAACTTTTATATCCGCAAAATGACCTAGTCATGATCAGAAACATTTAGTATGCAATAATGTAGCCTAAATCAAGTGTAGGCCTATTATTTTGCTCGATCACGAGACTATAATATAGATTGCTATTATTTTCTATCAGTATCATGATTGTATTTATTTTACCCTTATTTTACCAGGTAAGTTAACTGAAAACACATTCTCATCTACAGCAACGACCTGGGGAATAGTTACAGGGGAGAGGAGGGGTGATGAATGAGCCAATTGGAAGCTGGGGATGATTAGGTGGCCATGATCGCATGAGGGCCAGATTGGTAATTTAGCCAGGACACCAGGGTTAACACCCCTACTCTTATGATAAGTGCCACGGGATCTTTTAGTGACCACAGAGAGTCAGGACACCCATTTAACATCCCATCCGAAAGACGGCACCCAATCACTGCCCTGGGGCATTGGGATATATAATTTTTTTTGACCAGAGGAAGGAATGCCTCCTAGTGGCCCTAAAACACCACTTCCAGCAGCATCTGGTGTCCCATCCAGGGACCGACCAGGACCGACACTACTTAGCTTCAGTAGCAAGCCAGCAGTGGGATGCAGGGTGGTATACTCTCAATGTAAGACCCTACGCCTGCTCCCTAACAAAGTCAAGTGAGGGTAGGAAAGAGATTGAACGTGGATAAAAAAATAATGTTTTGAATAATGTTTCAAAATATCACTTTTTTATATGACAGCGGTTCCACATGTTGCCATGACGCAAGTTGTGTGGGAAAAATATTTGTTTTATTTTATTCTGTTATATTTCATTATATTCTTAGCCTACTATAAAACATATGTGTGTTGACTGTAATCAGGGTAGCCTAAGTGTGTCTTGTCTGTTTAATGAACAAAATAACTATTGATTTCAGCCATGTAGCCTATAGACTGCACATACCAGTAACATAATTAAACTCAAAATATGCCATTCTATTCTGTTGAAATGACATGTTATTAGTCTTATGTTTCTTAGGACCTGCCTAAAACCAATGATTAATGGATTTCTTTGTGATGGTGTATATTCAATGGATTTATTAAAATAGATGTCCACCCACATCGGCCCATGTCTACTCCCACTCCTAAACTTGCCGCCATGTGCACGGGAGATATAAAAGGCTTATCCAAGCAAGAATGTGGTAAAAATGGGACTGTATGAATTGGGTTCTAAAAAACATTGTCTGTTTTCTTTTACAGGCAACATACCATAAAGTCTGTCTGTAAACGGTACTATAGTGACAATTGAATTCCCTGCTTTACGTGGGCATGGCAGGATGGATCCATGTTAAAACCGATAACGGGGATGACTGGAGAGGTTGACAGTGAGCAATCAATGGGTGTGTTCTGATATGATGGCCGGGTATTAGTGTGAGTGGGATTGCAGGTTCTGAGAAGCAGTGATCAACAGGCAGACTCTTATTGCCAGTGGTATGACAGTAGTGGGGCGGGCACTGACATTATAGAGAGATTGTATGTCTTACAGTAGCTTCTCTACTACAGTATACTGTTGGGAAAAATGGTGCAGCATAGAACCAAAAGGGTTTAATAGCATGTTTCATATGGCCATCAAAATGGCTCTATATAGAACCACAAAAACTAAACAAAATCTGCAGTGTATCTGTAGTAGCATTACTGCATCTGAAGAGTGTTTGTAAATTACATGGGTCAGTTCCTCGGGAATTGGATTGATCTGATTTGTCTTTTCATTTCCAAATAGTTGTTTTTGTGGGTCTTTTGGGAATGGTAACCAGGTGACCTCCTTAAAATGTAGAGGAATTCTAAGTATGTAACCAGACAAAGCCCAAATACAATGAGATTAGGGGGTAATCTATTTGTAAAAACCCTGTTAGTCTTTGTTTGTAAAATGTCCTAGAGGGAAAAATAAACTACACTGTATTTGTTCTTATGATCTCATCTTACTTCAGCAAGTTCAAAATCATACATTTGCCAGATGTGAAATAGTCTAAGAAAAAATAATTTAAACTCTAAAATTCCTAATTCGTAATATGTTCATGTATTTTCCACTGCTGTGGATCCTCTCAGGTTACTGTGTTGTGAGCCACAACTTGTGACCTAGCTCCAGTAGCAGTAGTAGTAACACTCGAAACAGCTAAGAGCACTGACCTCCCTGCTCTTTCAGTGGACCAACGAGGATCAGTATCCACCCTCACCCAGATAAAAATAAATAACAAGCAGAGAGAGAGGCACTCCTGCCAAAACCCCATTAATCATTGCCTCTCTCCCTCCCACCATCTCTCTCTCTCTTCCTCCATCCATCTCTCGCTGTCTGTCTCTCTCTCTCTCTCTCTTTCTCTCCGTTCTCTCTGTCTCTTTCTCTCTCTCTTGCTCTCTCTCTCTATCTCTCTCTCCGACTGGCTCGCCCAGAAAACAACAGCCTTCTAAATCGCACAACAGGCTGCTCCCCTCTTCTTCCATTGTGTTTGCCAAGCTCCAGTAAACAGTGTTATAATGCTGTTTGTAGCACAGCACTGCCATCTCAGTTATTTATAATCCTCTCTGTAACTTTTTATCCGTGTCAGTAGGAATGTTGGATTTACTCCAGGTGCTGTTTCATTGAGATATTTTACAGTTGAAAGTTTCCAGAATTTTGCAACCCAATTTCACAGTATGTTGTATAACTGAATACAGTAGCTTGATGCATCACCAACTGTGTAAACTGATACAGATACTGTCAGATGATGAAACTATACTGAAGCCTAGTTGTCTCTCTTTGTGGTTTCAGGGTATATTGAGGAGGCTTGCATAATCCCCTGTCCGTCTGACTGTAAGCTCAGTGAGTGGTCCAACTGGTCACGATGCAGCAAGTCCTGCGGCAGCGGGGTCAAAGTGCGTTCCAAGTGGCTGAGGGAGAAGCCTTACAACGGTGGTCGACCGTGCCCCAAACTGGACCATGTCAACCAGGTGAGTGGGGGATGTTCATCACTCTTGGCCCTGTCTAGAAACAACCACTAGCCCTTACCCCAAAGACACATGGAGAGATCTGAGAGGATTGGACAGATTCTTTCCATATTGCTTAAACTTATCACATCTCCACAACTTAGTGTCTAGGGGGTAGAGGGTAAGGGATAAGGGTTGTTTCTGGACAAGAATAGAACATGGTAGAGGGTAGATGTCCCTGGCTTGTTTTAATGTTTAAATAAAATACTTAGATTATGATTTAATGCATTAGATTAAAGGAACCATGACAGTGTTTATTTTTTAATGAACCCAGAGTGGACATCTTTCAGTGTTTTATTCAATGCTTGTACCCATTTATATTTGAGTTATTTAGCAGATGCTCTATCCAGAGCGACTTACAGGAGAAATTCGAGTTAAGTGCCTTGCTCAAGAGCACATCGGCAGATTTGTGCACCTTGTCGGCTCGGGAATTCGAACCAGCAACCTTTCGGTTGCCGGCCCAACGCTCTAACCGCTAGGCTACCTGCCATGTAAGATTAAAGAAGGGGAAGGAACTGTGAACTCTATGCTCCTACAGAGAAACAAGAGAACATGTTGTACTGCATTCTAATAATCTGTTTCCCCGCTGTTCTTTTCTTCTTTTCCTGGGTGTATGAACTGACACCATCCATAGGCTCAGGTGAGTGACTTGTCATTGCCTTTTATAGTGTTTTTGTACAGTTCAATGTATGCGCTAGCTCAAATCTGCTCTTTACTATTTCATCATAAACAGATTTGGTACAATACATGCATTTTTGCTATGGGATGGATGGTGGTGTGACCGTTGGTGGCTAACGGTCTAGTGGTCTCTCACAAGGTGTATGAGGTGGTGCCGTGTCTCAGTGACTGTGGTCAGTACGTGTGGGTGGCTGAACCCTGGAGTGTCTGGAAAGTCAGCAACGTGGACCTGAAGGAGAACTGTGGAGAAGGAGTGCAGACCAGAAAAGTCAGGTACGGACGATCAGCTCTTATAGGTACAACAACCTATTTGACTTTATTCATTTTAGCTCCTAGTGGAGTGAAGGGCCGCGACAGTCTCTCCAACTAACCCTGTTCTGTGACGTTTACTTAGCTTCATTCATTCAAGGTGATTCCTTCCTTCTTCACCTCGTCTTCATCTCCTCTACAACAGCCAACAATAATTGTATCATATTTTCAAATCAAATCAAATTTTATTGGTCACATACACATATTTAGCAGATGTTATTGCGAGTGTAGCGAAATGCTTGTGTTCCTAGCTCCAACAGTGCAGTAGTACCTAACAATTCACAACAATACACAAATCTAAAAGTAAAATAATAGAATTAAGAAATACAGTATATAAATATTAGGACGAGCAATGTCGGAGTGGTATTGACAAAAATACAGTAGAATAGAATACAGTATATACATATGAGATGAGTAAAGCAGTATGTAAACATTATTAAAGTGACTAGTGTTCCATTATTAAAGTGGCCAGTGATTCCATGTCTATGTATATTGGGCAGCAGCCTCTAAGGTGCAGGGTTGAGTAACTGGGTGGTAGCCGGCTAGTGATGGCTATTTAACAGTCTGATGGCCTTGAGATAGAAGCTGTTTTTCAGTCTCTCGGTCTTGCTAACTTATCGTCCCCCCTCTGTCCAGGTGTATGCAGAATACTATCGATGGGCCGTCAGACTCTGTGGAGGATTACCTGTGTGACCCAGAGGAGATGCCACTAGGGGCCAGAGACAGCCAGCTGCCCTGCCCTGAGGAATGTGTCCTGTCTGACTGGGGGGCCTGGAGCCGCTGCTCACTGGTAAGGACAGATACTGATTACCTTGTTGTTTTATCATGTGCTGTTGGTGACCACTGATACCTTGTTGTTTTAGCACCTATTTTATCACTGCAATATTTCAGATATTTTTGTGTTTTCTGGGTTTAGTTGGGAGCTAAGTAATATCCATTTCATTAGGTGGACCAATGCAGGACTATTCTAATCTGTTATATTTTAAGGCTGTGGTGCAGGACACATACTCAAAGCAAGAGTAGACTGCTTAAAGGGTTAACTATCACCTGAAAAGCCCAAAGGTATTATGCTTCTGACCATGGATCTCTGTCTCACACCTTAACATATGGTAACTGGGCAATCATGCCAAGTGTCCACTTTCTATTTAACCTGTTTCGGCCATTTTCCCATGGTGAGAAATCCAATTCACAGCAGAGCTCTTGCCAGCAACTCTCACTTTGGGTTTGCACCAATTTAAGCGATAGCCATTCGGTAAGTGTGATTCTCCTGTTGGGCTCTCACCAGTTTAGAATGATGCCATTCGGTAAGTGTGATTCTCCAGCAAGGCTCGTACCCATTTAGGTGATGTCCATTTGGTATGTGTTATGTTCCTACTGGGCTCTCACCAATTCAGTATGATGCTCCGGCAAGGCTTGCACCAATTTAAGTGATGTCTATTCAGTATGTGTTATTCTCCGGTGGGATAATAGCTGTGGTTTATCCTGAGAAATTAAAGAAGGGAGAGAGGGTGGGATAACTTTCAGCAGGGAAGAGGATCTCATGCAGCTCTAAATAGTATGCTGTGACCAAGGTATTATAGGAAAATCTCTGGTGGAAGGAGGGGACCACCGTGTCGGTGTCTGTGTGTGTGTGTGCGCGTGTGGGAGAGTGCTGTGGAAACGTGTGTCTGTGAAACGTGCGTGAAAGTGTGAGCGTGTGTGTGTGCCCGTGGTGAACCTCTAGTGGGAAAAGGAGTCAACCGTGTCTCATGCCCTGCCATTCCCAGGCACTCTGCTACGGATCCGTTGGGAAAGTTAATGATCATGGATACGAAATATGTCCCTGCATAAGCAGGGGGAGACAGCACTCCAAATTGAAATGGTCTGAAACGACTTGAATAGACCAGTTTATCTTGTAAGGGTTGGTTGGGGAAAATAGGCAGAGGTGGAAATAGACAGAGGATAATGTAGGGAAAAATATATATTCATGGCAAACCTTTTTCGATTTGCTGGTCGGAAAGTGGTAACTTCACTTTAACAGGGTTTCATATTTGGTTTGCATTAAACGTCAAACTAAAAGTGGATTCCCTGACTTCTTGCTTTTGGTCTAGGCCAGGTTACTGTAAAAGCACTTAGTGACAATGACTGATGTAGAAAGGGCTTTATAAATTAATCTGTTTGACTGATTGATTGACTTCTTCTCTGGTTTAAGCCATGCAACAAAATCAGCACTCGGGAGAGGACAGCATTCCCCATCCGCCAACCAGGAGAGGGAAAGCTGTGCCCCAATACCACAGAGACAGAGCCCTGCAGCCTCAACAGCAACTGCTATCACTACTCCTATAACATCACCGGTAAGCCAAATGTCAGTCTGGATTACTGCATGCAATGGATGGTACCAGAGCCATATATCAATATGGAAATATATGGCTCTGGATGGTAAATACAGAATTGAATGTGATCTTACCTCAAGTATTTTTAGACCGCATGACATTTGAGATTAATGAAGTGCACTCGAGAGGAAAAGGGGTTGGGATGTAAGCAGTCTCTTTTTTCACCTCAGGTTTCTTATGCTTCTTTTTCATGCAGATTGGAGCACCTGTCAGCTGAGTGAGAGAGCTGTGTGTGGTAGTGGCATCAAGACGCGCATGCTGGACTGCGTACGAAGCGACGGAAAGTCTGTCGACCTCAAGTTCTGTGAAGAGGTGTGTGTTCTTCTCTTTCTATTCCATAGCTCATTAGTCATTAATGAGAGTGATTCTTCTGTCTTCAGAGTCCAGACAGGTTGCTGTTTGTGTGTTGCCTAGACAACTTGGGAACAGGGCAGAAGAAGAATCTCTCATACGCCACAAATGGCCCAATACATTATTTTTGTTTTCTTGTCTCTTTTAGCTGGGGCTGGACAGGAAGTGGCAGATGAACGCTTCCTGTGTGGTGGAGTGTCCTGTCAACTGCCAGCTATCTGATTGGTCACCCTGGTCCGAATGCACACAAAACTGTGGATTAGCAGGTACGTCACCATCTCCTTAACCCACTCTTTGTGACAAAAATATGATTCCATGTTAGAATGCTGAGAATGCGTTCAAGGCTAATCAAACCCAATTCTGAAGGGCTAGCCACAACAAAGAAGTAACAGAGAACTTATTAAGTGGTCCATTCACCTGTCTATTTCACCTATCTATTTTTCTATTGATCCAAGCATAGTGGATAGTCTGTGACTAGAAGTCATTTGACTACAGTACCAGTCAAAAGTTTGGACACACCTACTCATTCAAGGGTTTTTCTTTATTTTTACTATTTTCTACATTGTAGAATAATAGTGAAGACATCAAAACTATGAAATAACACATATGGAATCATGTAGTAACCAAAAAAGTGTTAAACAAATCAAAATATATTTTATATTTGAGATTCTTTAAATAGCCACCCTTTGCCTTGATGACAGCATTGCACACTCTTGGCATTCTCTCAACCAGCTTCACCTGGAATGCTTTTACAACAGTCTTGAAGGAGTTCACACATATGCTGAGCACTTGTTGGCTGCTTTTCCTTCACTCTGCCGTCCGACTCATCCCAAACCATCTCAATTGGGTTGAGGTCGGGTGATTGTGGAGGCCAGGTCATCTGATGCAGCACTCCATCACTCTCCTTCTTGGTCAAATAGCCCTTACACAGCCTGGAAGTGTGTTTTGGGTCATTGTCCTGTTGAAAAACAAATGATAGTCCCACAATGCGCAAACCAGATGGGATGGCGTATCGCTGCAGAATGCTGTGGTAGCCATGCTGGTTAAGTGTGCCTTGAAATCTAAATAAATCACAGACAGTGTCACCAGCAAAGCACCCCTACACCATAACACCTCCTCCTCCATGCTTCACAGTGTGAACTACACATGCGGAGATAATTCGTTCACCCACACCGCGTCTCACAAAAACACGACGGTTGGGACCAAAAATCTCACATTTGGACACAAATTTCCACCGGTCTAATGTCCATTGCTCGTGTTTCTTTGCCCAAGCAGGTCTCTTCTTATTATTGGTGTCCTTTAATAGTGGTTTCTTTGCAGAAATTCGACAATGAAGGCCTGATTCACATAGTTCCTTCTGAACAGTTGATGTTGAGATGTGTCTGTGACTTGAACTCTGTGAAGCATTTATTGGGCTACAATTTCTGAGGCTGGTAACTCTAATGAACTTATCCTCTGCAGCAAAGGTAACTCTGGGTCTTCTATTCCTGTGGCGGTCCTCATGAGAGCCAGTTTCATCATAGCGTTTGATGGTTTTTGCAAATACACTTGAAGAAACTTTCAAAGTTCTTGAAATGTTCTGTATTGACTGACCTTCATATCTTAAAGTAATGATGGACTGTTGTTTCTCTTTGATTATTTGAGCTGTTCTTGCCATAATATGGACTTGGTCTTTTACCAAATAGGGCTATCTTCTGTATACCCCCCTACCTTATCACAACACAACTGATTGGCTCAAATAAATTCCGCAAATTAACTTTTAAGAAGGCACACCTGTTAATTGAAATGCATTCCAGGTGACTACCTCATGAAGCTGGTTGAGAGAATGCCAAGAGTGTGCAAGATTGTCATCAAGGCAAAGGGTGGCTATTTGAAGAATCTCAAATCTCAAATATATTTGGATTTGTTTAACACTTTTTTGGTTACTACATGATTCCATATGTGTTATTTCATAGTATTGATGTCTTCACTATTATTCTACAATGTAAAAAATTGTAAAAATAAAGAAAAACCCTTGAATGAGTAGATGTTCTAAAACTTTTGACTGTATGTAGTGTTGAAGTCGTAAGTTTACATAAACCTTAGCCAAATACATTTAAACTCAGTTTTTCACAATTCCTGACATTTAATCCTATTAGAAATTCCCTGTCTTAGGTCAGTTAGGTTCACCACTATATTTTAAGAATGTGAAATGTCAGAATAATAGTAGAGAGAATGATTTATTTCAGCTTTTATTTCTTACATCCCATTCCCAGTGGGTCAGAAGTTTACATACACTCAATTAGTATTTGGTAGCATTGCCTTTAAATTGTTTCACTTGGGTCAAACGTTTCCACAAGCTTCCCACAATAAGTTGGGTGAATTTTGGCCCATTCCTCCTGACAGAGCTGGTGTAACTGAATCAGGTTTGTAGGCCTCCTTGCTCGCACACGCTTTTTCAGTTCTGCCCACAAATGTTCTATAGGATTGAGGTCAGGGATTTGTGATGGCCACTCCAATACCTTGACTTTGTTGTCCTTAAGCCATTTTGCCACAACTTTGGAAGTATGCTTGGGGTCTTTGTCCATTTGGAAGACCCATTTGCGACCAAGCTTTAACTTCCTGACTGATGTCTTGAGATGTTGCTTCAATATATCCACATAATTTTCCTTCCTCAAGATGCCATCTATTTTGTGAAGTGCACTAGTCCCTCCTGCAGCAAAGCACCCCCACAGTATGATGCTGCCACCCCCGTGCTTCATGGTTGGGATGGTGTTCTTTGGCTTGCAAGCGTCCCCCTTTTTCCTCCAAACATAACGATGGTCATTATGGCCAAACATTTATATTATTATTTCATCAGACTAGAGGACATTTCTCCAAAAAGTATGATCTTTGTCCCCATGTGCAGTTGCAAACCGTAGTCTGGGTTTTTAATGGCAGTTTTGGAGCAGTGGCTTCTTCCTTGCTGAGCGGCCTTTCAGGTTATGTCGATATAGGACTCGTTTTACTGTGGATTTAGATACAATTGTACCATTTTCCTCCAGCATCTTCACATGGTCCTTTGCTGTTGTTCTGGGATTGATTTGCACTTTTCGCACCAAAGTACGTCAATCTCTAGGAGACAGAACGCGTCTCCTTCCTGAGCGGTATGACGGCTGCGTGGTCCCATGGTGTTTATACTTGCGTAGTATTGTTTGTACAGATGAACGTGGTACCTTCAGGTGTTTGGAAATTGCTCCCAAGGATGAACCAGACTTATGGAGGTCAACAATTGTTTTTCTGAGATCTTGGCTGATTTCTTTTGATTTTCCCATGATGTCAAGCAAAGAGGCACTGGATTTTAAGGTATGCCTTGAAATACATCCACAGGTACTCCTCCAATTGACTCATATTATGTCAATTAGCCTATCAGAAGCTTCTAAAGCCATGACATCATTTTCTGGAATTTTCCAAGCTGTTTAAAGGCACAGTCAACTTAGTGTATGTAAACTTCTGACCCACTGGAATTGTGGTACAGTGAATTATAAGTGAAATAATCTGTCTGTAAACAATTGTTGGAAAAATGACTTGTGTCATGCACAAAGTAGATGTCCTAACCGACTTGCCAAAACTATAGTTTGTTAACAAGATATTTATGGAGTGGTTGAAAAACGAATTTTAATGACTCCAACCTAAGTGTTTGTAAACTTCCGACTTCAACTGTATCTATCCATCCAAGTATATTATAGTCCACATTATAGCACTGTATATTATAGTATAGGGTGTGAATTTGAAGGCATGGTGGGTAGTCTGTGAGTCATTCCTCATTGCAGGTTCACAGAGCTGCTGATCAACAGCACACACAGCTCAGAAACAGCCAGAGCCTCTCCTCCGAGGTAATGGCTGAAACGGGAAGCGTTTTATGATGTGAGAGAGAAACGATTGTGAGCCTTAAACCAACTGAGAGTGATGGAGGAATGGGGGAGGGATGATGATGTCCTCGTGTGTAATTCTATAGGATCAGAGGATTGATTGGCGGTCCATTAAAACTGTGTGCTCTGGGCCTGAGGGACCACTCCACCACTCCAGGAGTCCTTAAGAGCACTGGCCAGTGTCGTAGTTGGCCAGAGAGCAAATACAGGCCAAGATATGAAAGCTATACAGGCTCTAGCTATTATGGGAGCCCTTAATCTGTCCCCAGGCAACATGAGGATTTGCCACAGGATAGAGTAGCAGCAGTTGAACCACAGGAAGAGGAGAGGAAGAAAACAGCTTCTCACACTCACTACTTTTCTTCCTGGAGTAGATTTTTAATCTCCATGTCGGATGGCAGGACACAGTTACGTTGAGTAGCTAATATCTGTTCCTGAGCCAGGAATAGCAATGAGTTGCAGGTTATAGTTTTTTTTCTAAAGGAAATGGAGACACCAGGAAGCACCAATGTGTCGTATCAATCAGTGTGATGTAAACACCAACACAGGCACGCGCAGGCACACACGCACGCACACACACACACACACACACACACACACACACACACACACACACACACACACACACACACACACACACACACACACACACACACACAAACACAATTACTTTCAAAGACATTCAAATACATTTTAATATTGGAACGTATTTGGAAATACACTTGGAAATCATTTGACAATACTTTCAAATACTTACAATAGAAGTAGTTGATTCCCGCCATATTATTTGAAAATATTCAAAGAAAAATAAGTATTTCATAATAAATACTCCAATGTATTTGAACCCAGGTCTTTCACACACACATACACACACACAAACACACACACACACACACACACACTAGTTTCCCAGGGCATATCAGACCTGTGTGCATAGATAATCACAGTCATGTGTGTTCCTCGGCCAAACACTGATAGCGACAGCTGGCACTAGCTTCATCCTTTCCCAGCGGCCCACCCAGTCACACACTGCTCCTCACCCCCAAACTCACCGCTGCCATAGACCACCTGTCGAGTGAGTAGATGAGTAGAGAGACAGCACCGGAGAGCACAGAATCAGAATCCCCTTGGAGAATAATAGTTACCATGGCAGCACACAATAGTGAACCTCCCCTTGAGTGAACCACCTTTAAAAAAAGCACACGAGAGAATCTCAGGAAAACCCTGACTGCTGATAAAAAATAACTGGGAGTTTACTTCTCTCACGGTTTCACAGGGTCTAAACCCTTTGAAGGAAGGAGAGACCCTCTACGGGGGCACACATCATGGCATGCATCATGGAATGACATGGAATCACTGGCCACTTTAATAACGTTTACATACCGCATCTCATATGTATATACTGTATTCTATTCTACTGTATTTTAGTCAATGCCACATCGACATTGCTCGTCCTAATATTTATATATTTCCTTATTCCATACTTTTACTTTTAGATTTTTGTATTGTTGTGAATTGTTAGATACTACTGCACTGTTGGAGCTAGGAACACAAGCATTTCGCTACACTCGCAATAACATCTGCTAAATATGTGTATGTGACCGATAACATTTGATTTGATCACGGTGGGTTCACCAGCAGATGAATTGGTAGCTGTGTGAGACTAGAGAATAGCTGCAGGCTTCACCAAGCCCGGGGGACTCCGTTCTAATTGTGTTCAACATTAAGGAGCAGTATATGCCTCTCAGGCCCTGTGCGTGTGCAGTCAGCCTTGGAGAAAATAACACTGCCACATGGAGATAATATCAATTACGTCTACAGTGTACCGCAGAGAAGGAAAGTGGCGAATGTATTCGAGGGATGGGAACTTCATTTGATGTAGCATCAACTGAATTGATATTATGAACAAAATATAGACAGGGAGTGGAGCTAGGAGTATAGTAGAGGACTGGCCACCCCTCTGAGCCTGGTTCCTCTCTAGTGGAGCTATAGGAGTATAGTAGAGGACTGGCCACCCCTCTGAGCCTGGTTCCTCTCTAGTGGAGCTATAGGAGTATAGTAGAGGACTGGTCACCCCTCTGAGCCTGGTTCCTCTCTAGTGGAGCTAGGAGTATAGTAGAGGACTGGCCACCCCTCTGAGCCTGGTTCCTCTCTAGTGGAGCTATATGAGTATAGTAGAGGACTGATCACCCCTCTGAGCCTGGTTCCTCTCTAGTGGAGCTATAGGAGTATAGTAGAGGACTGATCACCCCTCTGAGCCTGGTTCCTCTCTAGTGGAGCTATAGGAGTATGTAGAGGACTGTCACCCCTCTGAGCCTGGTTCCTCTCTAGTGGAGCTATAGGAGTATAGTAGAGAACTGGCCACCCCTCTGAGCCTGGTTCCTCTCTAGTGGAGCTATAGGAGTATAGTAGAGGACTGATCACCCCTCTGAGCCTGGTTCCTCTCTAGTGGAGCTATAGGAGTATAGTAGAGGACTGGCCACCCCTCTGAGCCTGGTTCCTCTCTAGTGGAGCTATAGGAGTATAGTAGAGGACTGGCACCCCTTTGAGCCTGGTTCCTCTCTAGTGGAGCTATAGGAGTATAGTAGAGGACTGGCCACCCCTCTGAGCCTGGTTCCTCTCTAGTGGAGCTATAGGAGTATAGTAGAGGACTGGCACCCCTCTGAGCCTGGTTCCTCTCTAGTGGAGCTATAGGAGTATAGTAGAGGACTGGCCACCCCTCTGAGCCTGGTTCCTCTCTAGTGGAGCTATAGGAGTATAGTAGAGGACTGGCCACCCCTCTGAGCCTGGTTCCTCTCTAGTGGAGCTATATGAGTATAGTAGAGGACTGGTCACCCCTCTGAGCCTGGTTCCTCTCTAGTGGAGCTATAGGAGTATAGTAGAGGACTGGCCACCCCTCTGAGCCTGATTCCTATCTAGCTTTCTTCCAAGGTACCTTTTTTCTAGTGAGTTTTACCTGGCCCCTGTGATTCTTATTTTGCATTGCTTGCTCTTTGGGGTTTTCGGCTGGGTATAATAATATAATATAATAATATGCTCTTTAGCAGCCGCTTTTATCCAAAGCGACTTACAGTCATGCATGCACACATTTTTGTGTATGGGTGGTCCCGGGGATCAAACCCACTACCCTGGCGTTACAAGCGCCGTGCTCTACCAGCTGAGCTACAGAGGACCACCCATCTGTAAAGCACTTTGTTACAACTGCTGATGTAAATAAAGAGGGCTTTATAAAATACAATTTAATTTGATCAACTGATTTGAGTTAGGAGGGGAGTAATTGTGACTGTGAAGGAAATACTGTACATGGGACAATTGACCTGTAAGAGTTAAGTACCGGGTTAGAATGGATGGTCCTATAGGCAAGCACTGTGGATGGATGGTCCTAGAACAGGGATGTCGATGGATGAGACAATTATATTTTTTGTTATTCAATTTTCATAGTGCTATAGTTTACAGGACCTCGTTTTTGAAGTGGTATGCATTACTGAAAGTGAATGTATTATATCATTTTGGGATAGTTACGTTTTAAGAATGCGGTAGGCAGAAATGCTAAACCCCATGCGTTTCCCATGAGACACCATCTAATTGACTGAGTTATATCAGGTCTATCCCCCGGGCCCCTCACTTAACATGCAGGGTGTATTTTTGGTAGAAGGAGCACTCCTTCCTGTCCCCCATTACTCATTCCCCTGACATTACACAGTCTCTTCAATTCCATTTGTAAACAACAGAAGAGTATGAATATTCAGAATGACTACGGGCGTTGGAATTACTATCTAAAATTGCACCACAAGATTAAATCATTTGAAGGATAGCAGAACTTGGAGGGAGAGGGAGAGGGAGGGAGAGAGAGAGAGAGAGAGAGAGAGAGAGAGAGAGAGAGAGAGAGAGAGAGAGAGAGAGAGAGAGAGAGAGAGAGATAATCGTGTAATGTGATAGTGATCTTTTACAGTGAAGCCCCTCAAAGAGCCTCATATCATTGTGATGGAACTGGATATGAGTCATATACATGATAGAGTATATCTGGGGGCGTCTATGATTCTGTTACCACAATACCGTATTCTCTACTTAAAGAACTTAAAAGACTCCCAATCTTTAATGACATTACAAGGATGTATTCAGTCATGACTGGTTGGGAACCACATTTCTGGCATATGTTTTAATATGTTGAGAAAAAAAATTCTTCCCCCCAGCACAATAAGAATGCATGTTTAACAATTTTTGTTTTGTTGACTATCCAAAAAAACAAAAGACCTAATTTGTTTTGGACAGGGCCTTGGACACTCCATCATCCACTTGACAGACAGAAGTGTGAAATAACTAAAATTACTAATGGCGCATTCGTAAATTCACTCTGGCTATCTACTCCGATTTCAGAGCACTCTCGTCTGAGTGTGCCATAGTGCAGAATAACTGAATATGAACAGTGTCAGTAAACGTCGGCAAAAAAGTGTAATTAAATTGTTGCCAGCAGCACAGTTACAGTCACTAACGCTCTAGACAACATGAAAACAGCCTAACCACCTCTGCTAGGGCGAGTAAAATAGTCAGAGTGAGGTGTTCTCTCATTTGTGTCTGGAAATAGCCAGTTAGCTTGGGTGCATGACTGCTGTTGTGAGGTCAGAATGCTCAGATCAACCCTACTCCTCGGCCAGAGCGTCCAGTGTGCGCTCGGAATGCTCCAAGAGCGAAACACTCTGAATTTACGAACAGACAATCTGACAACGGTCTCAATTTACGAACGAAACCAAAGTGCACTTTGACACACTGGAGGCAATTTACAAACGCACCCTTAGTGGGGAAAAATCCATAATTTACACCTTCCTCTCTCCTCTCCAGGGAAGCTGTGGCGCAGGAGAACGGTGCTCCAGGTGCCCCAGGGTGATGGGCGACCCTGCCCCCCTCAGAGGGAACAGTGGAAGCCTTGCCCCGTCAGACCCTGCTACCAATGGAGATACAGCTCCTGGTCCGAGTGCAAGTCTGAGGTGAGGTGTTCTATCTCTCTCACTCTCTCTCTCTCTGTCTCTGTCTCGCTCTCTCTCTCTCTCTCTCTCTTTCTTTCTCTCTCTCTCTCTCTCTCTCTCTCTCTCTCTCTCTCTCTCTCTCTCTCTCTCTCTCTCTCTCTCTCTCTCTTTCTTTCTTTCTTTCTTTCTTTCTTTCTCTCTCCCTTTCTTTCCATCTATCTCTCACACACTTTCTGTTTTGTCTGTCTCTGTCTCTTTCTCTTTATTTCTCTCTTTCTTATTTGCCAGAAGCATCTATATTTTTGACAGACAGGGCACTGTATTCTATTGCAGAGTAAGGGAATGTTGACACTCCTTTGTTCTGGGCTGTTTTCTCCTCCTTCTGGAGTTTCTGACAGCAGACAGTAGCTCATCAGCAGCCTACAGCACAATCCTAGACTAGCTGTTATTTCTGGCAAACCAAAGATCAATGTCATGGCCTTGACAGGCATAGAAACTCTGAACTATAACAGTGAACCTGGTGGGTAACCATGCCTGAGACCTGAAGACTTGTGTTAGCTTCCCAAGCTAATGCCTAGGCTTTAGCTCAGAGGGCTAAAGCCTACACACAATGGCAATCTGTGACACAAAATTAAATGGCTATGGAGGTGTATTTTAACCTGTATTTTCTCTCTATGTTTATCGTCCAGGGTGCGAGGTGCGGAGAGGGGCTGCGGTTCCGTAACGTGTCCTGCTTTGTGTCGGACGGGTCTGGCCAGGGAGAGGGCAACCTGGTGGATGATGAGCTGTGTGGAAACCTTGAGCCCTCAGTAGACGGCGACAAACAGATCACCCTGGAAGAACCTTGTACCTCGCCCTGTCCAGGTAACTAACTTAACTTGGCCTGCAATGACTGGGGATCCAGAGTCCTGGACAATGGACCCAGTCCCTAGATAAGAGGCTGCCAAGATCTGACCAGGGAAAACGCCTGACCCTATGATCAGTAAAGATTCTCCTCTGAGCATCCATCTAATCTACTATGTAACTAGTTCAACACAGCAATCTGGTTACAATGTGGAACATTAATGGTGTTTTGTAGATTTGTATAGGTCTGTCTGGTTGAGAAAGCCCCTTGTCCTTTGACGTTCTTTACCAAATATGCAGAGACATTTTGCTGTGCCTTTTAGGCTGAGCTGAGTTCACTACTGCCATTAAATCACATTTATATGGTCCTAGCTGTGTTATATGCTAGTCCAGCTCTCTCATAACATGAATCTCTTAGGAGCAGTATCCTGCTGACACTGACAGTAAACACTGATGACTGGATGGTTAAATACTCTGGTGCTAGAGAGCACTGCTACAGTGTGTCATTCTCTGTTTCATAGTGATGTTGACTGACATTGTAGGGAATCCAACAAGCTAGTAAAGTGAGGTTTCTAAGATCTGATTATATGAATACATTATTTCCTTATCTCCAATGACATGAAAGTGGAGATAACTCAATTATTTTCTCTTCTGAGTAAAAACCTTTCAACGTCATACATTTCAGAGAGTTGCTAGGGAAAAAAGTGGATCTGAAAACGACTAGTATGAACACTATTTTTACAGTCCGCATTTGCTTTTTTGCCAGTGCCTGTGAATGACAGATCCAACGTCCCATTTTGACAGCTCCTCTGTAGCAGAAGTAGAGAGTTGTGACACAAACTCATGCAGCAGAAAATTGTGTGTGGTGTTTGTGTGTGTGCGTGTGTCTGTGTGCGTGTGTGTGTGTGCATGTTTGTGTGTGCGCATGTGTTTGTGCATGTGCGTGTCCAGAGCTGTGGTAGTTGTGGACACGTGTGTAGTCATAGTCATCTTTGTAACGTTACTCTACTTCCCTACTATCTTACTAATCATTGCCCTCACACATATCACAAAAACCCTCAGCCTGTGGCCTACTAAGTCTACATAGCCAGCTCTAATCTCCAGTGGTATAGCTCAGGCAGCCAGGACAGAGGAGGCAGGTAATCTCCACTTGAAACCCCACCAGACATCACCTCTCTCCCCCTCCTCTACCTCATCACACCCCTGCCTCCCTTGCCTGATCGTAGCCCAGTCCATGACCCCACCATGCCTGACGCACGTACTCTGATAATCATAAGGCGGATTAGGCCTCTTTGGACCTGGCGGCTTTATGATTAATTAATATTTAGACGTGTGCTCACTTCCTCCCTGCCACTACAATGGGATGAATGAATGACTCTGACCTATTTTAATGATCCAAGCTAGAATAGAGGATAATGAAAAATGGGATCTGGCTCTGTTGGGGAAATATTTGAGGACAGGTTTAATTATTACAATTACATTTACATTTTAGTCATTTAGCAGACGCTCTTATCCAGAGCGACTTACATGAGCAATTAGGGTTAAGTGCCTTGCTTAAGGGCACATCGACAGATTTTTCACCTAGTCGGCTCAGGGATTAGAACCAGCGACCTTTCGGTTACTGGACACAACGCTCTTACCCACTAAGCTACCTGCCGCCCCAGGGATAGGGTTTAAACCAACAAAAAAAAAATGAATTCTCTGAAGAAGTCTGAAAATTCTGCCTAGTGACAATCAGTGTGGACATAGGATGACATCTAAACCAAATAAAAGTAATATTCAAGTTTCCCATTATAATGATGTAGTGCCAGGGCCAGGAATATTGTGACCATGATAAACTCTGGCGCCATGGTCAGGTTACATGGTTAACAGTAACATCTCATATAGTACTGGACATTCTCAACTGTGTACAGCTAAATGTGTTGAAGGTTGTGTACTGTGTGTTTCTGTACAGGTGACTGCTACCTGACTGACTGGACACTGTGGAGCCCGTGCCAGCTGAGCTGTGTCAGTGGAGATGACCTGGGTTTCGGCTCAGTGCAGGTCAGATCCAGAGCGGTGCTGGCCCAGGAGCCAGAGAACCTACTGCAGTGTCCAGAACAGGAGTGGGAGGCTCGGCCCTGCACTGGTCAGTCTACAAACACACACACACATACACACATTCAAAAATACACACTTGCATTTGTCCCTTTATGATATTATATGAACTATTTGTAGTCTGTACTGACCCATAACTCTCCTCCCACTACAGAGGGCCAGTGTTATGAGTAGTCTGTACTGACCCACATTTCTCCTCCCACTACACAGGGCCAGTGTTATGAGTAGTCTGTACTGACCCACATCTCTCCTCCCACTACAGAGGGCCAGTGTTATGAGTACAAGTGGATGACAGGAGCGTGGAGAAGCTCCTCTCGACTGGTCTGGTGTCAGAGATCTGATGGATTAAATGTCACAGGTATGTGTCTGTGTGTGTGTGTGTGTGTGTGTGTGTGTGTGTGTGTGTATGTGTGTGTGTGTGTGTGTGTGTGTGTGTGTGTGTGTGTGTGTGTGTGTGTGTGTGTGTGTGTGTGTGTGTGTGTGTGTGTGTGTGTGTGTGTGTGTGTGTGTGTGTGTGTGTGTGTGTGGATAGTATAACAAGGAAAATCTGGACAAGTGGGAACATTTCGCAGATCCCCACAAGGAAAAATACTATTTTAGGCTTAGGGGTTAGGTTCAGGGTTAGGGGTTTGGAGTTAAGGTTAGGGTTAGGGTTAAGGTTAAGGTTAGGGTTAGTATTAGGGTTAGGGGTTAAAAAAATAGGATTTTGAATGGGAATCAATTGTTTGGTCCCCACAAACGTAGTAAAACAAATGTGTGTGAGTGTTTGTGTGCTGCTTATACCCCAACCCCCGTCAGAATGCAACCACCAACACTCCTTCTTATAAACTAATCCCTTTATATATTTGCCTACTTCATATGCCGCTGAAGAGAAGTCACTAAACCCTTCTCTAAGGACGAGTTTTGAGTGGTATCCTACTGTAGCAAAATACTCGATTTAGTAGCTACATTATCAAAACTGGATGAATGTGTGCGATGTGAATTAGCTCAGAAGCTCCAATGAATAGTACAATACAGTTCTGCTACAGTCAGCCACCCAGCCCAGCTCTCTCCAGGTCGGGTGCCTCTTTGGCTGATGATGATGAGGTGGATACGGTTATTTAAAACCCTGTCTCTGCCTGTCGGAGCGAGTGGAATTTGTTTGTTCGAAGAAGAGAGAGATTGCTTTCCGAGCACTTCCTGACTGCCTGTCACTGTGGAGCTGAGGCTGCGTGTATGTGTGCATGCATTCCTGTGTGTATGCCGGCGTGCCACCGAGTGTGCGTGTGTATGTGTTAGTGTGTGTGTAGGAGATGAGGAGGATTTAATCCTTGACGATGACACATTTCAAATCTGTTAGCCGTCACACGTCAGCTTTAGGTCTGTGACTGCTGCCTTTGCCTCGGTGGTGCTCAGAGCTAGGAGATGCCAGAAGAAGAGTTACAGTGTATATGTCACTTATCATGAAGGATGCGTGTCTTATTCAGCGATGAATCATCTGAGGAATGAATAACCACTGACTACTAGCAGTGACTTTGCTGACAACTTGTTTATTGTGGAAAAATTGACTTACTACGACTGTGATAATGATGTGGTTGTCTCAACTAGTTACACTATATATACAAGAGTATGTGGACACCCCTTCAAATTAGTGGATTCGGCAATTTCAGCCACACCCGTTGCTGACAGGGGTATAAAATCGAGCACACAGCCATGCAATCTCCATTGACAAACAGTGGCAGTAGAATGGCCTTACTGAAGAGCTCAGTGACTTTCAACGTGGCACCGTCATAGGATGCCACCTTCCAACAAGTCTGTTTGTCAAATTTCTGTCCTGCTAGAGCTGCCCCGATCAACTGTAAGTGCTGTTATTGTGAAGTGGAAACGTCTAGGAGCAACAACAGCTCAGCCGCGAAGTGGTAGGCCACACAAGCTCACAGAATGGGACCAACGAGTGCTGAAGCGCGTAGCGCGTAAATATCGTCTGTCCTCGGTTGCAACACTCACTACCGAGTCCAAACTGCCTCTGGAAGCAACGTCAGCACAATAACTGTTCATCGGGCGCTTCATGAAATGGATTTCCATGGCCGAGCAGCCGCACACAATCCTAAAATCACCATGCGCAATGCCAAGCGTCGGCTGGAGTGGTGTAAAGCTTGCCACCATTGGACTCTGAAGCAGTGGAAACGCGTTCTCTGGAGTGATGAATCAGGCTTCACCAACTGGCAGTCCGACGGACAAATCTGGGTTTGGCGGATGCCAGGAGAACGCTACCTGCCCGAATGAATAGTGCCAACTGTAAAGTTTGGTGGACGAGAAATAATAGTCTGGGGCTGATTTTCTTGGTTCGGGCTAGGCCCCTTATTTCCAGTGAAGGGAAATCTTAACGCTACCTCATACAATGACGTTCTAGACGATTCTGTGCTTCCAACTTTGTGGCAACAGTTTGGGGAAGGCCCTTTCCTGTTTCAGCATGACAATGCCCCCATGCACAAAGCGAGGACCATACAGAAATGGTTTGTCGAGATCGCTGTGGAAGAACTTGACTGGCCTGACCTCAACCCCAACTTTGGGATTAATTGGAACGCCGACTGCGAGCCGGCCCTAATCGCCCAACATCAGTGCCCGACCTCACTAATGCTTTTGTGGCTGAATGGAAGCAAGTCTTCGCAGCAATGTTCCAACATCTAGTGGAAAGCCTTCCCAGAAGAGTGGAGGCTGTTTTAGCAGCAAAGGGGGGACCAACTCTATATTAACACCCATGATTTTGAAATGAGATGTTCGACAAGCAGGTGTCCACATACATTTGGTTATGTAGTGTATCTTAATATGAATGCACTAACTGTATGTCGTTCTGGATAAGAGCATTTGCTAAATTACTAAAATGTAAACGAGTGGATGAAAAATTTCTGCAAACTATAACTAACATGTTGTTTGGTGTGTAGGCATACAGTATGACATTACAAATCGAATCAAACTTTATTTAATACGCATTTATCTAGACAGCTTAATACACATTACATGTGTTAGGTACAGTAGGTGTGCATTAATCATGATATAGCCTGAATTCACACTCAACGTATATTAATGATGCTATAGATCCTATGCCAAGGCATTCCACAGCCATACGCTCCAGATGGTATGCATATTTTATGCATATTATATTAGATCGGTTGATTGGCATATACCCTGTATTTCCTTGATGCAAACACTTCCTTTCATGCCATGTGGCTTCCGCTTATGATTTGCATACGATGTGTGTGTGTGTGTCCATGTGCATCACCATCATGAATATTCTAAACATCTTCAGATAGATTAGCAGTTTTCTGCCTACAGTATCATTTTTATGAATAACTTACTCTCTGAGTGTTGCTACACATATATCTCTTGTGAAGTGGGATGTTGAAGTGAAGGAATTTAGCTAAGTGGTTGAAGTGGACCGATGCTGACTGGTACAGAGTACTGGGCCTGGTACCTGTCATTCTCTAATGCTTGGGTACATATTGTAAAATACCTGCTTAAAAGGTACTGTTAAATTGAAGGAAGAACTGGAACCTTTTTCATTCCTTCAAGCACTTGGATAAAAGTGTCTGCTTAGTTGCAGATATTATATTATGTTACATTTATTATGATTACGCTCCCTGGCTGCTGTGGTAACCCTGTTTCTTTCAGCCTGGTTACCGTGGTGCTGTTTAAACCCCTAATGACGAACCTAGTCCTGACTGCCACCTACAACATTGTCATAGAAACCAAACTTATCAGCAAGGAAGGGCTGTAGTACTGACTGAGCTGTGAATCTGTTCTAGTTCCCTCCACTACACTACCATATCCATCCTCGGTATAACCTTGGTCTAGTTCCCTCCACTACACTACCATATCCCTCCTCTGTATAACCTTGGTCTAGTTCCCTCCACTACACTACCATATCCCTCCTCTGTATAACCTTGGTCTAGTTCCCTCCACTACACTACCATATCCCTCCTCTGTATAACCTTGGTCTAGTTCCCTCCACTACACTACCATATCCCTCCTCTGTATAACCTTGGTCTAGTTCCCTCCACTACACTACCATATCCCTCCTCTGTATAACCTTGGTCTAGTTCCCTCCACTACACTACCGTATCCCTCCTCTGTATAACCTTGGTCTAGTTCCCTCCACTACACTACCATATCCCTCCTCTTGATCTAGTTGGTCTAGTTCCCTCCACTACACTACCATATCCCTCCTCTGTATAACCTTGGTCTAGTTCCCTCCACTGCACTACCATATCCCTCCTCTGTATAACATTGGTCTAGTTGGTCTAGTTCCCTCCACTCCACTACCATATCCCTCCTCTTGGTCTAGTTGGTCTAGTTCCCTCCTTTACACTACCATATCCATCCTTGGTATAACCTTGGTCTAGTTCCCTCCACTACACTACCATATCCCTCCTCTTGGTCTAGTTGGTCTAGTTCCCTCCACTTCACTACCATATCCCTCCTCTGTATAACCTTGGTCTAGTTCCCTCCACTCCACTACCATATCCCTCCTCTCTGTCTAGTTGATGTAGTTCTATTACAGTATCCCTCCTCTTCTCTCCTATACCCTTCTCTTATATATATTGATTTACCCCAGTGTAAAATTAAAGCTTAGTGAGAAAACAGCGAGCCCTTTTATTTATGCCTTAAGGCAGTCTACTCTGCTGCATTGATGGGACAACGGGAATCTCCCTGAGGCAATTACTTAAAGGGATGGGGATTGGGATGAGTCCCGGGCTGGACTACCTTCCCTTCTCAGGCATGCCTGTATCCCAAATGGCACCCTATTCCCTATATACTGTAGTGCACTTCTTTTGACCAAGGTCCATAGAGCTCTCATCAAAAATAGTGCACTATGTAGGAAATAAGGTACCATTTAGTACACAGACATGTTGTCCTTGATATCTGAAGCGTAAAAGCCCAGGTACTGTATCAGTATGAACGTTGCAGTGAATGCATCAACTCACTACAGTACACACAACTCATTTGAGACCTAGAGAGCTCTGTCTGCTTTCCTGTTTATCTAACTGTGTCTGTCTGTACGCTTGCTCTCTGGGATGGTGCATAATGTGTAGCGTATATCTGCTAAACCATGAATTAATGGGACTGTGTGTTTTTGTCAGGGGGTTTGGGGAGGAATTTTGAGCAGCTAGCTATCAGAGTGCTCTAATTACTGAATTATTGCAATATCAAAATATACTGTGGGGGGGGGGGGGGGGGGGGGATAATGAGAGAAATAGAGAGAGGGAGGGAGGAGAGACATGTAGAATCTAAGCGAGCGAGCGAGAGAGAGAGAGAGAGAGAGTGCAAAACAGAGAAGAGGTGTGTAGTGTCTCTGATCCATGTTGCCTGCAGCACAACAGACTGAAGTGCAGTAACAAAGACAGCAGTGAAAGCTAAAAACCTGGGCCACGTGTCTGCTGCACTGCTGTGTGTGTGTGTGTGTGTGTGTGTGTATATATATATGAAAGTGTTTGTCTGCTTGCATTAGCGCAATAAGTAAATGTACAGAATCTTTATGTCATAAAGGGAGACTGCTTCCCATGGCACCCTCTCTTCCATCCCCTCGCTGCCCCAAATCCCTCCCCACTGACACTTGCCCTCTGACCTCTACCCTACAGGTGGCTGCCCTATGACGGCCCAGCCCGTGGCAGACCGTTCATGTGACCCAGCCTGCAACAAACCACGCTCCTTCTGCACAGAGGTGAAAAGAGAGAGAGAGAGAGAGAGAGAGAGAGAGAGAGAGAGAGAGAGAGAGAGAGAGAGAGAGAGAGAGAGAGAGAGAGAGAGAGAGAGAGAGAGAGAGAGAGAGAGAGAGAGAGAGAGAGAGAGAGAGAGACTCAAACAGACCCTGTGGGGATGACACCAGTCCATCTGGGTTAGTTGCAATTGTTAGTCTCTGATGGTGTGTTCATGCCATTGTTATGGTGTTCCTATTACATGTGCAGATGAATGCCCCTGTACTTACTGTATCGCTACAGGGATCGTTGCATCTGCCGTAGCAGGAGCCTACTACATAAATGTACGTAAAATGATAACGCATGATCAAGAAGACTATTTTATTTTTCAATTATACTTCCTCTTAACTAAACTCCCTCTCACATTATCAAGCGTCTCACAGGCAATCCCAGAACAAGTACAAATAACATAGAACATATAACTTCAATTTTTTTTAAATTAAATGTACTTGATTCTCTGTCTTATGTGAGAAAGAAACATCCGATAATATACAGCCTGGTCTTTGAAATGTAGTCTGTCCCTCCTCGGGCTGAGAGCTTCCAGCATTTGTGTTCACTGCAAACAGAGTAAATTTCCTGGAAACACCGGGGGACCAGTTAAATGGGTACACTAGGAGTTTGTGTGTGTGTGTATGGGGATCGACACCATCTACACACACACACCCATGTCAGAACACATCAGAACCAGTCACTATTACTAACACCATGAACCAGGACTCAGCCCTCTAGTCAGTGCTAGCTGAGGGGGCTGTGAGAGAGCTACAACAACATGTCTAGCTGAATATGGCTCAAATGTGTCTAGGCGTCACTACAGACCCGGGTTCGATCCCAGGCTGTGTCACAACCGGCCGTGACCGGGAGTCTCATAGGGCGGCGCACAATTGGCCCAGCATCGTCCGGGATATGGGAGGGTTTGTCTGGGGGGGATTTACTTGGCTCATCGCGCTCTAGCAACTCCTGGTGGCGGGTCGGGTGCATGCAGGCTGACTTCGGTGTTTCCTCCGACACATTGGTGCGGCTGGCTTCCGGGTTAAGTGGGCAGGTGTTAAGGAGCGCGGTTTGGCGGGTCATGTTTCGGAGGACGCATGACTCGACCTTCGCCTCTCCCGAGCCTGTTGGGGAGAAAAAGCGGGTAAAAAAATAAAAATAATGTGTCAGTTTGTGTATTGTGACTCTGCTCTTTTATACTGAACAAAAATTTAAACGTAACATGTAAAGTATTGGTCCTATGTTTCATGATCTAAAATAAAAGATCCAAGACATTTTCCATATGCACAAAAAGCTTATTTCTCTCAAATGTTGTGCACAAATTTGTTTACATACTTGTTAGTGAGCATTTCTCCTTTGCCAGGATAATCCATCCACCTGACAAGTGTGGCATATCAAGAAGCTGATTAAACAGCATGATTATTACACAGGTGCACCTTGTTCTGGGGACAATAAATGTGCATTTTTGATGCAACAGATGTCTCAAGTTTTGAGGGAGCGTGTAATTGGCAAGCTGACTGCAGGAATGTCCACCAGAACTGTTGCCAGATAATTTAATGTTAATTTCTCTACCATAAGCCTCCTCCAGCGTTGTTTTAGAGAATTTGGCAGTACGTCCAACTGGCCTCACAACCTCAGCCCAGGACCTCCACATCCAGCTTTTTCACCTGCTGGATGGTGTGAGACGAGCCACCCGGACAGCTGATGAAACTGTGGGTTTGCACAACTGAAGGATTTCTGCACAAACTGTCAGAAACCGTCTCAGGGAAGCTCATCTGCATGCTCGTCGTCCTCACCAGGGTCTTGACCTGACTGCAGATTCGGTGTCGTAACCGTGGTGGTGGGGTTATGGTATGAGCAGGAATAAGCTATGGACAACGAACACAATTGCATTGTATCAATAGCAATTTGAATGCACAGAGATACCGTGACGAGTTCCTGAGGCCCAATTTCGTGCCATTCATCCGCTGCCATCACCTCATGTTTCAGCATGATAATGCTGTACACAATTCCTGGAAGCTGAAAATGGCCCAGTTCATTCATGGCCTTCATACCCACCAGACATGGCCCAGTTCCCACCAATATCCAGCAACTTCACACAGCCATTGAAGAGGAGTGGGACAACATTCCACAGGCCACAATCAACAGCCTGATCAACTCTATACGAAGGAGATGTGTCGCACTGCATGAGGCAAATTATGGTCAGACCAGATACTGACTGGTTTTCTGATCCACACCCCTACTTTCTGTGACCAACATATGCATATCTGTATTCCCAGTCATGTGAAATCCATAGATTAGGGCCAAATGAATTTATTTCAATTGCCTGATTTCCTTATATGAACTAACTCAGTAAAATCTTTGAAATTGTTGCATGTTGCGTTTATATTTTTGTTCAGTATATGTTTGTGCTGTAAGTGATCTCCCAGGGCTGGGGGAGAGAAACAGTGTTTCTGTGATTGTGTATGCTGTATATCTTGTTCCAGTGTGTTTTTGTGCTTGTAGGTTTGGTCGTTAGTAAATTTCTTTTTTTCTGTCAATGAGATTCCCTATTTTTGTGTCTGTCTATGTGTGTATGCATGCATGTGTGTGTATAGGAGAATATGTGTGTGTCTGTTTGTGTTTGTATGTGTGTGCAGGCACGTGTAGGTTTTGGTGCGTTTAATGTGTGTCAGCCAGCCTCAGTCTCAGCAGTGTGTTGTTTAGCCCCATGCTGCGGTACAGAACCAGGCTGCATAACAAACCGGTGATAAGGCTGCTGCATCCTCATCCTGCCCCTCTCTTTGTCTGCCACTTTGGTTATGCTAATCAGCCCTCCTGTTTCCTGCCCTATTCTTTCATCTGTCGGCCCTGTGTGTGTCTATGTGTGCGTGTGTGTTCAGTCGTACAGCCACTGATTGCATTGTGGGTATTTCTTCTCTGGGTGATTATCCTCCGGAGATTGCCGGGGAATAGGGGAACCCCCCGCCAAGCAGGCAGATGAGTGAACAGAGAGAGAGAAGAATAAGAGAAAGAGAGGAAGAATAGAGGAAACCTTTGGGTTGGCTGGCTATATACCCCTACAGACCCCACCCTTTCAATCTCAGAGCATGAATTTCTGTCTGATCCCCCCTCTTTCAAAGCAGCAGTAGCATCACAAAGGGGTTTGAAACATGTGATGGTGCATTTCAATACTGCCAAGATATGAGGCTGAGCTAAAGCTGAGTGATGATTCATTCAATTACACCTGGGAATATTTGATAAGAAATAACCTCACTTTAATCCAACTTGGTGCTTAGCCAGGTCACTAGCCTCCGACTGCTTTATTTGCTCTACTAAAAGAGAGGAAACTGACAAAAATGCCTTCTGTCCATGTTTTGATTTTATATTGACCATCTCTAACACACCTGCAAAGCAACCCCTTGATGTGCGAGTGCATTTCCCTCATACATGTGTTCCTTCCCTCTTCTCACAGGCGGGTGTGTGTGGTTGCGAGGAGGGCTATACGGAGGTGATGACGTCAGACGGCCTGCTGGACCAGTGTACGGTGATCCCCGTGTTAGAGATCCCCACGGCGGGGGACAACAGGGCTGACGTGAAGACCATCAGGGCGGTCAGCCCCACACAGCCCTCCAACAGCCTGCCTGGCCGTGCCGGACGCACCTGGTTCCTACAGCCCTTCGGACCAGGTACACTAACCAGACAGATTTACTCTATCAATTTATGGGACTGTAGGGAACCATCCAAGAAATGTCTTAGTTGTTATTATGTGGTATTGTCAAATCTTGTTAGAATATCGGCCTGTATTTTGTAGAAAGTAAATGTGAATATATTCAGGAATTATAACAGAATTTGCAGCAGAGCTACAAAGAGGCAATAATTCTGCATTGTGTCATTCCCGGTAGCCACAAATTGTTTTTGCACAAATCCCCTAACTGTCACGATCGTCTAAGGAGGAGGACCAATGCGCAGCGTTGAAGGTGAACATATTTATTTAGAGAATGATCACACGATCAAAACAACAGACGATAACGTGATGTCTACGGTTTAACACAAACCAAATAAGAACAAGAAACCACAAAGAATGAAAGCCTAACGGCTACCTAAGTATGACTCCCAATCAGAGACAACGAGCTACAGCCGTCTCTGATTGGGAACCACCCTGGCCAACATAGAAATGCAACATAGAAACTAACACCCTGGCTCAACATACGAGAGTCCCCCGAGCCAGGGCGTGACAGTACCCCCCCCTAAAGGCGCGGACTCCGACCGCGCCAACCAAACACAACAGGGGAGGGACCGGGTGGGCACTCCGCCTTGGCGGCGGATCCGGCTCCGGGCATGATCCCCACTCGCTCTCTAACCCCCCAAAGTACCCCTGGTCCGGTCTGGCCCTGCTGACCGGAGCTGGACTGCACACTGGTGGAGCGGATTGCTCTAGCTCCGGCGTGAAGCAGCTGACCCGTGCTGAACCAGGCACCAGTGGAACAGGCACGGGCTGTGCCGGACTGACGACGCACACCACTGGCTTGGTGTGGGGAGCAGGGACGGCCCGAGCCGGGCTGACGAAACGCACCCCTGACTTGGTGCGGGGAGCAGGAGCGGGCCAAACCGGGCTGACGAAATGCACCACTGACTTGGTGCGGGGAGCAGGAACGGGCCGAGCCGGGCTGACGAAGCGCACCACTGACTTGGTGCGGGGAGCAGGAACGGGCCGAGCCGGGCTGACGAAGCGCACCACTGACTTGGTGCGGGGAGCAGGAACGGGCCGAGCCGGGCTGACGAAGCGCACCACTGACTTGGTGCGGGGAGCAGGAACGGGCCGAGCCGGGCTGACGAAGCGCACCACTGACTTGGTGCGGGGAGCAGGAACGGGCCGAGCCGGGCTGACGAAGCGCACCACTGACTTGGTGCGGGGAGCAGGAACGGGCCGAGCCGGGCTGACGAAGCGCACCACTGACTTGGTGCGGGGAGCAGGAACGGCCGAGCCGGGCTGACGAAGCGCACCACTGACTTGGTGCGAGTGGCAGGAACAGGCCGGACCGTACTGGGAACACACACCACTGGCCCTACGTGGGGATCAGGAACAGGCCGGCCCGGACTGGCAACACACGCCAGTACCTCTCGCCGTGCCTCTACATCCTCCCTCCCCCTGGTGACCAGTGACTCCCGTAACCTGGCGGCCTCCTGCTGCCCCGTCGTCCACGGCGTTAGCCCCCCCTAAAAATGTTCTGGGCGTCTCCCCTACCCGTGGACCAGGTCTCCATGTCCCTCGCCAGCCTTTCGCCCTTCTGCCACAATGTCAAGCCCTTCTCTTCCTCACTCGGCTTGACCCAGTCGAGGAGGCGAAGGAGATCTGTTAGGGATCTCCCTGGCGATGGCTCCTGGACACGCTGCTTGGTCACATCTTGGTGGTTTCTTCTGTCACGATCGTCTAAGGAGGAGGACCAATGCGCAGCGTTGAAGGTGAACATATTTATTTAGAGAATGATCACACGATCAAAACAACAGACGATAACGTGATGTCTACGGTTTAACACAAACCAAATAAGAACAAGAAACCACAAAGAATGAAAGCCTAACGGCTACCTAAGTATGACTCCCAATCAGAGACAACGAGCTACAGCCGTCTCTGATTGGGAGCCACCCTGGCCAACATAGAAATGCAACATAGAAACTAACACCCTGGCTCAACATACGAGAGTCCCCCGAGCCAGGGCGTGACACTAACGACATCAATAAATATTTGAACAGAAGTCTCACACCGCCATTTGCGCACACATTTAGGATTAGGCACAGAATTTCTCATCCTCAAAATATCCAGAATTTCTACTCACATATGATGATACAGTGGATCTTAATATTTACAGCAAAATGAAAGTACAATCCACCTATAATAATTTCCAACAACAAGATGATCAGGAAAACATATGGTGTACTGCTGCCCTCTACTGCACAGGGATGGAGTTGCACTGAAGCCATTCACATTATAGTCCAATGTGAGCTGTCTCTGACGTTGGTCACTTGTCAGTGTGCTAAGTGTGTGTGATGTCTCCTTCTCTACAGATGGTAAACTCAAGACATGGGTCTACGGTGTGGCAGCTGGAGCTTTTGTTCTACTCATCTTTATAGTCTCCATGACCTTCCTAGCCTGGTAAGTTAACCTGTTTGATAGTTTGTGTATATCAGTCATCTGTATGTCTGTCACCTGTATTCTGTATGTCATCACTTGTATGTATGTATGTATGTATGTATGTATGTATGTATGTATGTATGTATGTATGTATGTATGTATGTATGTATGTATGTATGTATGTATGTATGTATGTATGTCATCACCTGTATGTACACTGAGTGTACAAAACATTAAGGACACCTGCTCTTTCCATGACATAAACTGACCAGGTGAATCCAGGTGAAAGCTATGATCCCTTATTGATCCCTCACTTGTTAAATCCACTTCAATCAGTGTAGATGAAGGGGAGGATACAGGTTAACGAATGATTTTTAAGCCTTGAGACATTTGAGACATGGATTTTGTATGTGTGCCATTCAGAGGGTGAATGGGCAAGACAAAATATTGAAGTGTCTTTGAACGGGGTATGGTAGTAGGTGCCAGGCGCTCCAGTTTGTGTCAAGAACTGCAACACTGCTGGGTTTTTCACACTCAACAGTTTCCCTTGTGTATCAAGAATGCTCCACCACCCAAAGGACATCCAGCCAACTTGACACAACTGTGGGAAGTATTGGAGTCAACATGGGCCAGCATCCCTGTGGAACGCTTTCGATACCTTGTAGAGTTCATACTCTGACGAATTGAGGCTGTTCTGAGGGCAAAAGGGTGGGGTGCAACTCAATATTAGGAAGGTGTCCTTAATGTTTTGGACACTCAGTGTATATGTCTTCACGATCACATCAGTTTCATTTTGACCCATTCATTTTCATTTCAAATCATGTCATTATTTGTACTCTCCATTTTGCTTTTCTCTTTCCTTCCATCTATCTCCCCCCCTCCTCCGTGCACCATCAGTCGGAGTTATACCCGTCACTATAACTGGAACCCTGACCAGTGCACTGATACGGTGGTCTGGATGGGGCAGAACGATCATACCATGGCTTATACGTGTCCTGACTGCCAGCATGAGGCACATGAACTAGAACAACAATATGAAGAACAACAACCACATCAGAATCATTGTCAAGATCAACAACAATTACAACGACAAAAACATAAATATCAGCAAAATAATCAACAACAACCACAACAAAATCAAAATCAACAACAACCACCACAACAAAATCAACACTGTCAGCAACAACCATATAATCAACAACATCAACATCAATATCAACAAGAACCACAACAGCATCAACAACAAAACCATCATAAGCCACAAAATCACCAACAACAACCACAGCAACAACCACAACAACAACCACAACGCTTTGAAACACTCATAACTTAGCTGCCGTGTTCGCTGCCGTGTTCACACAAACTCCCCTACCCTCTCGTCTTTCTCTCCTCCCCACATCTGCTGTCACTTGTGCCTGTCCGACCAATCACATGGAGCTATTGATGGTGAGCAGGAAGTCATCCCCCAGGTCCCTCTGTTTGACCTCTGACCCCTTTGTGCTCCTGGAGTTTGTTTAGTAGTCTTTAGAGCACCTCCATACTTAAACATACTTCTGTACAGCATCCATTTTAGGAAGTCCCTTGGTTCTTTGTTGAAGGACTTCCTAATATGGGTGCCATATTTTTCTGATTTCAGAGATGCAGAACATTGATCTCACAGTTACTCAATAAAATGATCAGCTTTCACTTTCAATAGCATACTGCCCTCTTGTGGCCAGATGGAAGAATCACTCATCACCACTATTCAATGATCCCCTCACCATTCAATCTCTTATTAGTTCCATCCATTCTTCACGATCCATTCATAATGGGCACATTTCATAAGATATCTTATTTACATTTGATATCTTATTCATCATTGTGTTGTTATTGTCTCTCATCCCTGTGGTTTTTATGTAAAGTTGTGATGTGTGATATATTAGAGCCTGCCCAGACATGCCATAGTGTTGTCATCATTATGGACCTATAGCTAACTGTCTACACTGTCTCTGTGTGCCATAGCCTAGTTTGCATTAAGGTGAGTGAGAACTGTTTGAGTGGGAACTGTTCTGGGCTGAAAAAAAGCTGCTTTCTGTGCTGTGCTTGTCCCCCTCATCAGCTTCCTTCAGAGTTCAACCTCTCTCACATCTCAATATAAAAAGAAATGATAGCAGCTGTTGAAATTTTCCATGAGGTGTTGCATTATCCACTACAGCATCACTTCAATGCTAGGACATGGGGCACTGAACTGTGCTTCTGAAATTTATCTGGCTTACTACTGCTATAACCAACAGATTTGTCGTTTTTCCTTCAAGGACAGTGGCAGTATAGAAACAGAGTCATTGGCAATTTCAGTATTGCCTTTTGCATGATCAAAGAACTGACCATCTACTAAAAGCATGGCCTTCAGCAGAGCGATGCATGCAACTCTAACATGAGGCAAATTAACCCAACTGAAAGTTGGGGTTTCAAAAGAAAGCAGAGCGAGCTCTGTGTATCAGGTGGGGGTAACTTAGCCCTGATATGGATACATCCTCCATTATTAAGGTATCTAGGCCTACATATTAGGGCTAGGAGTATATAAAACATGTAATAACAATGTTTTCTGCCATTTTTCTTTCCCAGTAAAAAGCCAAAGAAACCCCAGAGAAGACAGATGTATAACAACCGGCTCAAGCCCCTGACCCTGGCCTATGACGGAGACGCTGACATGTAAACCTCCTAATCTACCCGTGACAGAATCATTTTACACTGACATCATGGAAACTGTCGTCGTGGGAACAGACAGACGGGTTGTCATGGAGACCCACCTTTGACCGTTCTTCTCAGGCTACCAGTGGGCGTGGCTTAAAATATCTGGAACTCTGGGAAGACTTACATTATGTCACCGATTTATCAACAAAAAAAGTGAATAAGAAGTCAGACAGAAATCGAATCATGTTTGTTCATTAGTAGCCTAGAATTTTCCTTCCTCAATATTTTTTATTAATTACATTTTTGTATACTTTGTTTCACAAGAGCCTTCACAAACTCTATCTTCTTCTTAAGGAAGTCTGCCTTTGCTTATCTGCCATTTACTACTTTTTCTGTCAAATAAAAATGCCTTTCGAAACTAAGGTTGTTGGAGAGGGCCCTGAAAAAACCACGATTTTTGCTGCGAAAGCATAAGGCCCTCCTTTGCTACAGGTGCTCTGTTGACAATGAAATTAGAAACACTCAACGCTTTTTTATTTTGCCTGGAGAAAATTGCTCCCTCTCTATTTTTGTTCTGGACTGGATCCTTTTCCCTAGAAAACAAAACAAGAAGAAAGTGTCCTGATCTTACAGAAACGCTGTCAACCTTTGTAGGAAATCTCTGCCTGCCTTTCCATTTCTCTTCCGCTTTTCAGGCGCAATATTGCACTATATTAGTGCAGCATGATTTGTACTTATGTCTAGGAAGCTGCCTCTCTCAATACAAGATGATGTACAGTCTTGTGCTAGAAATGTAAAGAAGTAGAAATTGTTTTAAAAAACAAACACTCACCAACGTTGGTTAAGAATATTTTACTTCTTTTACCTCTTGTATGTGATATGATGATAGGACGGACGATGCCATGTAAATAGGATCTATTTTGTGGGCACCACTTTACCTTTGTAGTATGGACAGCTGCATTTTACAGACACGGGTTCAAATAGTATCTGTTTTCAACTGCGCTTGATGGAGCTTGCCTGGCGCAATGGAGCCATTGGAATAGTCCCAAAAGTGCAAACCCCGCCCATCTGCCACTCCAGGCCAGGCTCAATTAAATGCTTAAAGTATTGGAAAGAAAACAAATACTGTTTGAACCGAGGTCTGAACATGTCTCATTCTCTGCCTGCCTGACTGACTTTATGTTTGTTCTCCTGTTGGTTTCTCTGACTGTTGCTTTGAAGGTTTATTATGGTTCATCATTTTTTTCCCTTTATTATCTTTATTCAACATCTCAAAGACCTGAATTCCATTAAATGTGCACTGCAGGGAATCCGGATTCTGCATGGCAGAAAAATCACATTGCTCTCGCACCATAAAGAAGCTAATTCAAAGAACTGTTGAATGTTTGTTGAGTGAAACACAGCAGCAATTCTATTTGACAATGTTATTGAAAGGGTGCATTTTCACAGTGCAAGAGCAATGTGATTCGTTTCCCCCATTGCGAGTTTGATTGAATCCGGTCTTAGTTGTTAAGACAGACAGAAGGGTGTGACTGGGTTTGTTCACAACGTCTTCTTTACCTTCTGTTCCATCAGAAGAGAGTGGGTTCTCTTTATATCTTGGTCTCATATCTACTGCTGTGTAACATCCTCAATCCTAACTAGAACAGCCTACTTGTATCCAAACTGCTTAGGCGTGTTGCTAGATACATATCATATGTGATCTCTCAATACTGTTCATATTCAGTGTGACTGTTACATCGGTTGAGAAATGAGTATGACTACAATGTCTACAATAATCACTCACACACATTTATGCTTTGTTCATTCTCCTTGCCTTGGTGCTATTCTAGAATGGGTTCTGTATTGCAAAAGCTAGATAGAATGTAGCCTAGGTAGCCACAATAACACTCCAAGGAATTCCAAGGAACAAATGCATCAAGGTCTTAGATGTAGCTCAAGCTTCTCATGCTAATGATGCAATGACATATCCGAAGAGTCAGAATCAGTGTCCTCTGTCTGAAAACAGGTTATATGCATAATATTGGCTATGGCAGACTGGCAGTTGGTAGTGCAGACTGTTTATTCAATGGTATAGATGGACAAACCTCATGTAAAGTAAATGAATCTGTTACAACCGTTCTATTCCCCAGAAAACAAAGAGGGTATTGAATTGTGGTGGTACAGACGGCCATACAGACAGACATTGATCATTTTGAGGAGTTTGTTGCCAGTTGGTCAAAGGAATGTTCACTTTTTTAAATTATGAGTTGTAAATAAATGAGTGCATAATGTTTTTATTTAATAATTATTTATGTATTATATATAAATATGTTCATTTCTTTTTTTATTGCGCAGTGTTAAGTAAAAAAAAAGTATCGAAGTGTGTGTGTGCGTGCGTGCATGTGTGTGTGTGTGCATGTGTGTTTCTGCCAATGTTTGTGTAATGTTAATGATCTTTCCTAAAGCGATACTGATGATTACCTTGTTAAAACAAAGTCGCAGAGCTCTGTCCTTTTCCTACAGGTTGTTTATATGTATCTGACCAGTTGTTGATAATAAATAAGAAAAACTAAATTGTGTCAATAGCCTCCATGAAAATGCTCTCATCATATGCACCCGTATTAAAAAACAAATAGGTTGTAATATCAGTGTACACCACTAGATGGCACTAAAATACTATTTAAGATGTCATTCTGACCATTCCCTCCAGCTAGTTCTTTGAAAATAAATGTATCCCCTCTTCCAGTGCAGAGGAATAGATAGATGTAGAAACACTCCGCTGAAGACGGCAGAATCTGTGAGAAACTCAGACCCTGGACACACGTAGGCTAGAAAGAGCTATTCACACACACACACAAACACACACACACACATGTCAGAGGACAGAAGGGGCTTTAGTGAAGTCTGAGGAATTGGAGCTATTCTACTATACGTTTAAAATCACACTCTCTCTGGCCTGGGTGATAGTGTGAATATGAGTCTAAGCTGGTTGTAAATGATCATACCTAGGATCATTTAGATTTTTGATTTTAGGACCCCTTTAGGTATAAAAATATATATTTAAAAAATATATTGAATTTGGCCTTACTGCTGTTAGCCCATAGAAACGCATTTCATAACAGATTCATACATGGAAAAACAGATTTTTTAACTGGTACCAGGGTACCTTCAGATGAGTATTGTGGGCTTGTGGGCGTCCTAGAGTAAAACAACCGACACGTACGTGTTCGTGAGAGTCTTTCCATATTGGTGTGTAGCCAAAACTGTTAGGATGTTTTCGTAAGAATACCGATTTACTGTATGGTCTAACCAACATCGCTGTAGCTCGGCCACCTTCCACCGCAGATGAGGAAGGCCACTATTGACGGATGAGGTGGATTGAGACGCAGCCCATGCAAAACAACAAAACATATCCCTAGTTTAAATAGACAGATTTTGACAGGGATTACTTAGTCATCTTTGTTCCTAGGTGGAACGTAAAGCTTCCATGAGAGCGCCACTGCTACCGATTTTATGCCTTTTTGGGAATGGTTTTCCAGGCTAGTCATGACAGGATTGTGCTGTACATTTACAGGTAATTCCTAGGTAATAGTCTTGTAGATATTCTGTTACCATGTTGTTTCTATGTAAATTCCAGATCATTTAGGAAGTGTAACAAATGGCACCCTATTCCTTGTTTAGTGCACTATTTTTGACCAGGCCCTGGTGTACAGTAAATGACATTCCTCCACTGAATCAGTTGATTGTCCTCTCCTCTGCTTGTTAAAGTCATGTTTTGGTCTTAATCAGTCTTAATCAACCAGAGTCATCACACTGTCACAATTGTAATTATTGATCAGGGAGACTAACCACAGTCCGTCTGTGTGGCCTTGTTACTACCGTCCATTCAGCTCCTCTCATAATCATGTCTCCATCTCTCTGTGTGTGCATGCTCCTTAATCAACTTAATCAATTCACTTCCATTGTGATTACACTTCTTGTCTCGACCTCTGAGTTATCAAGATCCAGGGAAAATGTGATTAAGAGAGAGAGGAAATTTGAAGCACTTAAGAGCATTTGGGCATATCAATCGCTCTCTCTCTCTCTCTCTCTCTCTCTCTCTCTCTCTCTCTCTCTCTCTCTCTCTCTCTCTCTCTCTCTCTCTCTCTCTCTCTCTCTCTCTCTCTTTGTTTCATTGATGACAGGAAAGCTATGTCTGTCCGCCGAGGCATGGAGATGAATGCCTGGCATCACTTTAAATCTCCAACATATAAAACTAAATAGTAGCTGGCTCTATTAGGTGAATTGTCTGTGTCTGTTTTTCAAGACATCAGTGATGTAACCAGTAGAGAGGCCACTGCCAACTACTACTCCTGCTGACGATGTCTGGAAGATAGACAGCCTGGACTGACAAACTTTGGCGAGCAGAACTTAGCTCCTCAGTATGGTTTTTGTCAGTTGAAAACTTTTTTGTTGCCCTTTTTTTGTGACCGCTTTCACTAGAAACATTTCCTTAACTGTCCCACTTGTCCCTTCCTTTAGAGAATGTGAAGTGCATCTGCAACACTTCATCCACAGAATGACAAGCATTCAAACATAGTTCTTCCTCTCTTTCTCTTCTCTTCCTGTCTTTGTCCTCTTGCTCCAAAAGCCTGCAGTCAGACACACACACACAGTAACACACAGTGGGTCTAATTGTGATGAGGAGGAAGTACTCGATGGTGATGGCTGCCAGCTGCGTCCTGTGACTGTCATTCTGATCCCGCATTTGTCTCTGTCATCTCCAAGATCCCTCCTTCCGTCCGCCCGCCGCCTGCACGTTCCCGCCCGCCCACCTGACCACACATCCACATAAAAGACGTTGGCAGCCTCCGCCACAAGCTCCACGAAGTCCACGCTTTGTACCCACACATAGCAGATCGATGTGCCCACCCTCCCACAATAACAACCCACCAGGCACCCTCCCACTACCCACCACCCATCCCTTCTGGTCAGGGTTAAAACTCATGTTTGACTCGTCTGTCCCCCTCTGGGTGTGTAGTCAAAGCGGAGTGGAGT